AACAACTTATATGTGATTAATTGTAAGGAAATATTTATTTAGAGCAATTAATTAAATTGTTTCGATGTAGCTACAAAACCTAGGTTTTGTTTATTTAAGTAAGCTTCTACTAAACCTGATATAAAAAGTCAAGTAGATATTTAATTGTATTAACCAAATATTAGTTTAAAAAGTCAAACAAACCCAAGTTTTCTACTAAATAAATATCTTCTTGTAGATATCGAAATAAATAATTTATTTGAGCCAAGCCAAATATAGTAAAATCACTTAAAGGGTCGTAGTTTTTTTAGTTTACCCCCAAAAGTTCAAGGATTTTAATCCTTTACAATATGTAAAAATTACAGACAATTTGAATAGTTATTTACCTGAAAAGGGAGTGCCGTTAAACGAATGGACTGGAATGGGAAAAATGTGGCCAAAATATATTAAAAAAAAAACTTAAAAGATATTATGAAATTTTAACTCTTGATCCCATCCAAATTTGAATTCAATTGGCTCAGTTTTATAAGGGTTTAAATGAATGATTAAAATAAGTTAAAAATTTAATTATTTTATAAACTATTTAGAATATCACGATAAAATTGTAAGACAGGTTTCATATATTAATAATCTTGAATCTGTACAAATTTTAAATTAATTAAATCAGTAGCAGCGATTTTATAATGATTAAAAAATTAAAATTAAAATTTTGTTAAAGTAAGTTAAAAATTAAATTAAATTAATTATTTAGAAAAGGATTTAAAATATTATAAAATTTTAATGAAATCAGCAGCGGCGTTTTAAATATCTTTTAAAAGTACTTAATTGATCAGATTTCGTTACTTATTTAGAATAAATTATAAATATGTTTTTTTAATCATACAATAATATACCTAATTATAATATATAAAAATGCAATATCCTGTTGACTATAAATAACACATTTATTTTAATAAAATATAAATTTAAATACAAATAATGCTTATAAATTAAAATAAATCAAAAATAATTTTGTCTGTAATAAATAAACTTATAATAACAGTTCTATGCATGTAAAATCATCATTCTTTATAGAAGTCTATGAAGCAAGTCTTCATTCGTTGTAGATCTTGATATTTTTATAGTATCAATAATTATTATATAATATATAACATGGGACATCTGAGCTTTATGTGCATCTATATAATATAATATTATTATATTATATAGATGCATATAAAGCTCAGATGTCCCATGTGCATAATTATTAAACTTTACAACATCTATTAATTTTCCAGATGCTGAGGCAAAATAATACTGTTTGTTGTTTCCGGATCCTTGAATAATCTGCGATTTGTTTGGGTATATCTATTATTATGCCGTTTTACCCCAAAATTCATCATGTATTCTTACTTTTTCGGATTTTCTAAGGGCGATATTTTTATTGGCTCTAACTGTCCATGTTTTAAATGTACAGGGTGATCCCCTATAATGTCGCCCCCTTTAACTTTTTTATTTTAAGTGTCCCAAAAAATATAATCGTGTGGTTATGTAGGTACTAAAAAATACTTTTTTTCTACATATAAAAAATGGAAAATTAATCAATATACAGGGAATAACACAAAATTTATTTTTTTTCAATGGATCACCCTATATATGAATTTATTTTTCGATTCCTTTTAAAATTCTGAGCATAATTCATATGACAACCCATATACCTAAATTCAACCGTTTCTGAAATATTCGCATTCGAAATGTTATCATTAAATATTTTTTTTAAACTGTTAAAAATCAAAAAGCCTTAGTATACCAAAATTTTTTCTTACTACCTCGACTCAAAATACGTTGTTTCGTCCCCGATTTCACGGCAGAAAGTTTACGTTTCTTGCATTGGTCAAGCTATACGCGCACACTCTAATAGCGGGAGTAAAAAATTTTTACTCGTGTGCTTAACATTCAAATTTCGTACTGTCAACATGAGAAACACAAAAATATGATAGTTTTAAACCATAATTTTGCAATTATAACAACAAATAAACAATTTATGTTTTTACTTTTTTACTTTTTATGTTGTTTTAAGTGTTTAATGGTACTTTTATTTGTTATAAAGTAGTAATTTTTTAATTAAAATACAACCTTTTATTTTTACTGTATTGGCACCGCTGAATTACCATGACAACGCTACAGTTTGATTGATTTTGAATGTAAACGTCAGAATTAAATTAAACGTCAGATTTTAATTTTGACACAAGTTTTTTTATATACATTTAATTTTTTCCCGTATTTTCTGCGGGGTAGCAAGAAAAATAGTATACACTACACGGGCAGAAAGTGTGAGAATCTCACACTTTCTGCCCTTGTAGTGTAATATACTATTATTGAACATAAATTACCATAGTGACATTAGGTCAATATGTCTTGTTAAATAAGTAAAAATGGCGTACTCAGACAGAGAAAGACAAACTATTTCAACTTATTATCTTAAAAATAATTTAAATATTTCAGAAACGGTTGAATTTAGGTATATGGTATGTTTTATGAAATATGAATTTTACAAGGAATCGAAAAATAAATACATATATAGGGTGATCCATTGAAAAAATATAAACTTTTTGTTTTTCCCTGTATACTGATTAATTTTACAATTTTCTTTATACGTAGAAAAAAGTATTTTTTAGTACCTACATACCCACACATACAAATACTGTAATAGTGATTGTCCAGAAGCTCCATCACAACCCCATTTTCTTATAAATTCCAAATTTTTTAAAATGTTTGCCTAAATGCCTCCACATGATTCCAAAATGCATAGGACTGTATGGTCCATATGGACTTATATAAGTGATCGAAGTTTGACCTTAGTCTTTATGTCACCGACTTCTACAGCGACTCAGGGTACCATTTGTTTTGGCTTCGTAGGCTGGAAACAATTTAGAATTGTGGCCTAAGGCAAGCCTTAATTTTTATGGTTAAATTTAAATCGAGAAACAACGCCAAAGTTTTTTTTTTGTAAAGGGAATTTTTTGTTTTAGATGTCGATGGTCCTTTATTTTCTTTGTCATTGTTATGCCTTTAACACCTAATTTAGATTTTCGTCTTTTTGATACCTATATATAGGTCCACAAAATCCATCTTTGGCCTTCCGGGGGATTTTTTTTTGGCATGTTTGAGTTTGAAGTTCCGTTAAATCCAAAGAAAGGCTTCTCTAGCCAATCACCATTTAGAATTTAAAAGTTTGTTTTTTGTTTTGTTGTAACTTGAATTTCGTAAGCTATCCTTGTACTTCTAAAAAATCCATCCATAGAAGTTATATTAATGTTCGCATTTTAGTCTTGAAAGAGTAAGATAAAATAAGCATTATTACTAGTAAATTCTTTTTAATAATGTCGTTACTCTCTAAAAATGAATTAGTCAAAAATAATTGTTATGGCGACAGAGCAATTTGTATCCCGAACATTTATTAGTCAATTTATATGTAAAATTGTCCCCTGAATCCGAAAATGTCAAAAGTTATTTTCCCTATTTTCCATATAATATGGAATTTACTATATCTTAAAAACTGCCCTACTTTTATAATTTTTAAATGTATTTTTGGATTCAGAGAACAATTTTACATAAGAATTGACTATTAGTGTTGGGGATACTTGTTTAACCATAACTGTTTTCATTGTTTACTTTGTCTGTGGCAGCCGCTAAGGTTAGACGTGTTTTATGAGCTCGGCGATTTTTCGTTCGTTAAAAGAAATGGATCAAAGAATTTGTATCCAATTTTGCTTAAAAAATTAAATAAATTCTGTGAAATGTTAACAAAGGCCTATTGTGAGTCTGCTTTAAGTAAAACAAGAGTTTACAAGTGGTATAAGAGTTTCCAAGATGGCCGTGAAGACGTTGAAGATGACGAACGCCCCGAACGCACAAGCACATTAACAACCGATAAAAACATGGACAAAGTGAAAGAAATGGTTATAAACCATTAGGGAAGTCGCTGATGATGTTGGTATATCGATTGGCTCATCCCATGAAATTTTTTCGAATGTTTTGGGTATGAAACGCGTGGCAGCAAAATTTGTTCTAAAATTGTTAAATTTTGAACAAAATTTTTGGCCAAAAACAATACTGTAATGATGTCCCAGCCTCCATATTCTCCAGACATGCCTCTGTCTGACTTTTTCCTATTCCCAAAAATAAAGAGAACCTAAAAGGTTCGTCGTTTTGCAAGCATAGATGAAATTAAAAGCGCATCGCTGAAAGAACTAAAGGCTATCCCAAAGATCGAGTTTTAGAAGTGTTTCGAGTATTGGAAGAAGAGCTGGCACATGTGCATAATATCCAATGGGGACTATTTTGAAGGCGACAACATTAATGTAGACGAATAAATAAATATTTGTTTCAAAAAACGAAAATTTCCGATATTTTCTGAACACACCTCGTATAAGTGAAAAAGCAGCCACTAATAACTGTCGTAACTAGTCATTTTTAAATAATTCATTTTTAGAGAGTAGGTAAATTTCCAAAAGAATATAGGTAGGTACATTACCTATATTTGTTAATATGCATACATGCATGTATATCCATAAAAAACCTACCTTACACAAACTTTGCTTATTTTAAAGTAAGCGTGCAAAATGTGGACCTTTCCGCATGCTTGTAGAAAAAAAACTGTACGCGTTGATACATAATTATTGAACAAATTTTTTTTTTAATTCCGAAAAGCTCTTAGGACATATTAAAAGAAAAAGGCTCTTATTTCAAACACAACAAACGGTTTTAGAATTAACATAATCCAAACCAGTATTTCTAAAGAAGAACCCTTTTAAAAAGTGTATCATATTTCAAAGAATCTCAGCCGGATCTGGTTTTCTTAACGTTATTATGACCAAGTGGGTGTCACAAGAGAAGCTGCATACTTTCATATTTATTATTATTTGACTTTGCCCCACCAACCTACTCGATACACCAGGTAAATATATTAGCTGAAGATAGTAAAAAGTCTATTAAGAATGCCCGAGCTAAATTTTTTAGAATGTAAAAGTAAAAAAAATAATATAATGTTTATTAATTTATAAAACATAGAAAATAACACATACAGTCACCAAATTATAACTTAATTAATACAAAAAAAACAACAACAATGGTAATAAATTTCAGTCTTTCTTTCTTAGCCTTTGGCTGGACTTTTCAATTGATGTTAGCCAGTCTTGCAGTTCCGCTGGAGGTGTAGGTCTATAAGAAACATCTTTTCCAGTTAATTTTGCCATTATTTCGGAAACGTTAAGCCCAATGGTGCCCTGTTTGCTGTGCACTATAGCCCTAATAAAGCCATCACTTAAAGTGATAAATTGTTGCTCAATAAACAAAGTCTTTTCGTCCCAATACATTATCTAAAAAATCACTGAAAAATCAAAAAACAAAAAAAATAAATTCCTTACTTTGGTGGTGATTTTATATGGTTGAAAAATAGGTATGGTCCTTCTGTATCTTATGTTAGAAGCAGTTTGCAATACGTGTCCGTTGGATTTTTTTATTTCATCGTAGATGCCGGTTCTTTCGTAAAAATGAAATCGGGCAAAATCTAAATCTCGCACGTAACGCGCGTTGTTCATGTGTTTGAAAAATATGTCCACGTCTTGGGTGGTAACCAATCCTAAAAAAAATAATGTTTGTTGGGTTAGCATATTGAAAATGTTGCATTTTGTGGGGGTTAAAAAAAGCACTGAGTAAAAGTGAATAGAGCTTTGAATTTGCCCACACATGTGCAGAGAAAAGTAATCTCTTGATTTAAGAAAATGCATTTATTTGAAACAGGTTTTCTTGTATAAAGTAAAATTTTCTTATTCGTAGTAACTTGTTGTTTACAATAAGAAAATACTATTATTTGGTTGTAAATCATAAGTTTCTTAAAAACAACTTATTGTTGTGATTAATTGTAAGGAAATATTTATTTAGAGCAATTATTTTAATTGTTTCGATGTAGCTACAAAACCTAGGTTTTGTTTATTTAAGTAAGCTTCCACTAAACCTGAGATAAAAAGTCAAGTAGATATTTAATTGTATTAACCAAATATCAGTTTAAAAAGTCAAACAAACCCAAGTTTTCTACTAGGTAAATAAATATCTTGTAAATATCGAAATAAATAATTTATTTGAGCCAAGCCAAATATAGTAAAATCAAGAGATTACTTTTCTCTCTGCAGTATTTTTTTCGTAATATTTTAAAATAATTTACTAAGCTTTAACCCTATGTAACTTCTTTAAAAATATAGCAAACTAAATGAAATTTTCAGTGTGTAGGTACTAATAAAAATACTCCCTTTAAAATGCAATTAACAATATTTTACTTCGTCAAAGTTATACGTAATTATATTTAATTATTATTAACTACATTATTTACCTATAGGTACTATAGTTGAAATATTTAATATTCATAACGATGACTTTAACAAATCCAAAATGTACATACAAAATTTACTTCTCGATAACAAAATATATGTAGTTTTGTTAATTAAAAATATACTGATAACATATATAACAAACTTACCATATACGACTGTGGTATCATCGACCCGTTTCTTTTTTTCGAACAATTTTCCATACCCAATAGTAAAAGCAATTCTAATAAAGTAATTAACATCAAATAGAACATAGAGAATTAATAAAATTGTGACTAAAGTCGTGTAGCACAAAAAACATGTAAATAACATTTTTTCTTGAGTTCTACTAGCTGTTACTTCGCTTAAATTTCTATGCGGAATGAGCTATAGCTATATCAAAGCTAGGCTACGTTGACCCCTACCAATGGCTATACCATTAAATACCAATGACCTTGATTGTTTCTACCGATGATTGCAAGTCCCGTTTAAAATAAGCGCATATACATTGACCGGCAAAAGTATGGAACAAATTCATTAAAAAATGTCCGTTTTTCCCCAAAAAATTCCTTAAACACGTCGATTTTGCTTTTTAATTCTTAATTAATTTTTATGTAAAATTTTCATATTTGCCGCCATTTTTGTGGAAGCTATAACGTCATGACGTTATAGCTTCCACAAAAATGGCGGCAAATATGATGCATCTGCCGTTTTTTTTAAGTTGTACCCCCTCTTCTTTTTGCAGATTTGAATAGATTACGAAATTCTGAATTTAGCAATATGCACATGTACCTTTTAGGATGATAGTTTTGGGTATTATTAATTTAAAATATTTATTATCCTCATGAAAATTGAAAATACTTTTAATGGATACATTAACAAATTATTGTTCGAATTGCTCCCCGTTGGTTTCTTGGCTTGCAAGCCTATCCGAAAACTCTCTGAGAACGTTTTGGATGACTTCCGCACTAAAAAAGCGACATTCTTCACGAATTTAATTTTTCAAGTCTTATAAATTTTGAGGTCTGTTAATGTAGACCTTTGATTTTAGGTAGCCCCATGAGAAATAATCGAGAGGGGTGATATCTGGAGATCTCGCTGGCCACTTTATCGGTCCTCGTCTGCCAATCCACCCCTCAGGAAAAAATGTGTCCACAAAAGTACGAACAGGACGCGCATAGTCCGGAGGTGCCCCGTCCTGTTGAGTTTTGCAAAAATTCCAAATACGTTTGCCCTTTTTGCCGGTATTGGGAATTTGCCCCTACTACCCATTGCAATGAGGATTTTCTCTGCTCCAGTACCTACAATTTTGACCATTCAAACAGAAGGTATACCTTCTGTTTGAATGGTCAAAATTGTAGCTGTAGCAAAATTGTAGCTATAGCTTCCGAAAAAAGTATTTTACGAGGAAAGTGTGGATTATTGTTACATAAATTCATCATAGTTTCACAAAATTGTACTAGTCTAATTTTGTATGGATGGTACTTTTCTTTCTTCATAAGACGTAATACTGAGCATTGGCTGACTTGATTTTCAGCTGCGAGAATCTTCTTCCACACGTAATAAAATGTCTATTTTAGTGTCTTTACTAATCATCGGACGGCCAAGTTTTGGAATATTTTTGACATGTCCAGTCTCTCTGAATTTCCGTTCAATTTTGCTAACCCTAGCACGAGTAATAGGTCGAGTTGGATAATTTGCATTAAATAAATTGCAAACTTCTTGTTGTGTTCTAGTTTTATTGTCATGAGAATTAAAACTTAAATTCTCTGTGTTTCCGTTTAATGGCCCATATTTAAATACTTCGAAATATTTGGAGAACGCGACTGGTGGATTTTGGGTATACCGATATCTCAATTATTAGATATGGGACCCCCACCAAATTTATGTGAGTTTATAATGACATTAAATAAACTAGTTCTGCGCAAGCAGAATTTAAATTGAAGTTTGCGAAAAAAAGAAAACTTTTTGGCGCCCCCAATAAATATAATTTAAATTTAATTGGTACAATTTATTATTTACCATAGTTTAAATTTAAAATTTCAATTCAAAAATCGAAATTATACCAATTTTATACCATTTTTAATATTTCTTTTCAGAGAAATAATAAAAATTTAAAATGATACCTATAAAATCTGTATGATTTGGATTTTTTAAATAAAATTATAAATTTGTCGATAAACTATGGAAAATAATAAATTGCACCAATTAAATTTATATTATATTTATTAGGGGCGCCATGGGGCCGGTACGGCCGAGCAAAAAGTTATCTTTTTTCGCAAACTTCAATTTAAAATCTGCTTGCGCAGAACTTGTTTATTTACTGTCATTATAAACTCATATAAATTTGGTGTGGGTCCCATATCTAATAATTGAGATATCGGTATACCCAAAATCCACCAGCCGTCACTGCGCTTAGGGTTGGGACAGTTGAAATTTTCAAATGAAAATTTCAACTTTGAATATTTCAGACTTGAAATATTTCATTTAGTTGGAAAAGTGAAATTTTTAAAAATTACAAATGAAATTTTCAATGCGAAAATTTCAACATTGCCCGTGAAACTTTCAGAAGTTTTATTGAAAGTTTCGCAATTTACTGAAAATTTCGCATAAATTTCACATGCGGCCTCCCCTGGGACCTTTAATAAAAATTTACAACAGATTCCGAATCGACCAATAAGAACCAGTTATCAAGCGTCTGGGCGTTTTTGTTTAGTTCGGCTTGGATTTAAATACACTATAAGTAATTATTGTTACTTATATGCATAAATTAATTTAAATAATTTAATTCAGTTACCAATTTAATTTGTAAATTAAATCAGACTTTAAATTTTTTTTTTAAGTTATGATTAATTTAAACTTTTACTTTTGCTATAATTGCATCGGAAAACGGATGAAAAATGCCTTTGGCTCATAAAATTTTGATGAAGTTTCTTCAATTTTCGTAAAATTTCAATAAAATATATATAAATATAAAACAATGAAAGTGGCACAATCTCGTTAGCATACCAAAAAGTGCTATATCTATCTTAGTTTTAGTAATTTTAAAAATATTTTAAATGGAAATCTCAAGAAATTTGTGGTAAACATAGGTATTTACTATTTATATTATTGAAGGTCAGGGGCCCACAGAGGGGTAGGAGGTAAGAGAGGCAATTTACCATGGTCCCCGAGTGGGCTTATTTCAATATATATAATATATTACACTTAAAGTGATTGAAATTTATTGAAACTTAAGTTTCAATAAATTTCATATAATTTCAGAAATTTAGGAAATTTAATAAATTCCATAAATGTCATGAAAATTTCAAGTACAAGCAAAAAGTGAAATTTTCCCAACACTACTTAAGAGACAGATACTTCATCGAACGCTAAACTAAAAGTTTTTACATCTAGTAGTGAATATTGGATAAATTATGTGTGTAAATACTGGATAATGCGGAGGTGCACGGTCATGTTGAAAGGTCAGCTGATTTTCGAAAAGATTATTGTCGTTTTCCAAAATTACTGTTATTGTCGGATCAATAAGCTCGTCTAGCAAGTCCGACCCGGGACTTTTGGGACGCCCTGTATATGTATTAATGGTTTTCCGGGATCTGCTCCGTGTTGTCGGTTTTTGGTTCGTATGTCTGACGACGTTTCGGTACAACCTCATGTATCATCTTCAGGTCTTATCTGCTGGGCTGCTGTTGCTGCTCTGCTGCGAATTAGACGTGGAGTCTAAAGCAGAACCACAACCAATAAAAACACAATTTCGTAAACATTACTAAAAATTTCGTAATTTTGTTAGTAAATCCACATTTAAGTTCTGTTTAATGAAAATTGTTTTAAATTTATTTAAAAATTATAATTTAAGTATATAAATCATATCTTTCGAATATGGTTCAATACGTTGAGTTTAAGGGTGTAAAATCTGATGTGTATCACGCTACTAGTGGTGTAACACAGGGAAGCAACCTTGGTCCATTGATGTTTCTCATATTTGTTAATGATATTTCCTGTAATATTCAATCATCAAATTTGTTATACGCAGACGATTTCAAGATATTCAGATCAATTAATACCATAAATGACTGTCATCTTTTGCAAGACGATCTGAGTGTATTGGATGCGTGGTGTGTAGGAAATCGGCTTTTATTAAATATAAAGAAATGTAATGTCATGACATTTTCAAGAAAAATCAACAGCATAACATTTCAGTATGCAATTGGTTCGGAAAAAGTTGAAAGAGTGGATACAATGCGGGATTTGGGTGTTCTGTTTGATGGTAAACTTACATTTGTTCAACACATTAACAATACAGTTGCATCTGCAAATAGAATGTTGGGGTTTGTGATTAGAAACTCTAAACAATTTACTAATATTCACGCTATAAAATGTTTATTTTTTGCATTTGTTCGAAGTAAATTTGAGTATGCATGTGTTATTTGGTCATATATGATAATACTTTGTTCATATATGATAATATTGAAAGAGTTCAAAAGAGATTTTGTAAATACTTGTTTTTTAAGATTAATGGCTATTATCCTTTAATAGATTTTGAAACTGCACTTTTTTACCTTAATATGGAAAGTCTTGAAATGCGTCGTCGAAATGCAGGATTAATTTATTTATATAAGCTAATTAATGGGTTAATATTGGACTCTGAACAACTACCTACTAAAAATTAATATTCACGTGCCTAGAGTAAATGCAAGATTTTGTCCAATTTTTTATTTAAATGCTTATACAAACAACCAGCACATGCATGCTCCATTGACGTCGATTATAACCAAATTTTGAATAATAATTATTGTGATATTTTTAACCAAAATTTAAATTCATTTGTTGGAATTGTTCGCTCATTATCATAAGTTGTTTTATTTATGGTATTTTGTCCTAATTAGCTATTTTAAATTTATCAACCTATAACTGTAATTTGTCACTGTAATCTAAATAATTTAGGTATATCCTTTATATGGACTGCTGTCTGTTGGATTAATAAAGTATTATTATTATTATTATTATTATATAGGTCTGTGATATATATATTATAGAAAGGTTACGATTTTTGACTTTTTTCTTGTCAAAATAATAATAATATTATTATTATTATCATTATTATATAGGTATATATATATATTATAGAAAGGTTACGATTTTTGACTTTTTTCTTGTCAAAATAATAATAATTAATATTCATGATTTCGGATAGAAATTATTAAATTCCAAATAGTAGAAGAAAAAATTTAAATAAATTTTCCGAAAAATGGCCAGTTCACAAAAGTAAGCATTTTATTTAAATATTTAAGTAAATTTATGAATTTTTTAAATATTCTTCTTGTAGAAGTTGCAATAGTAAAAGTAGAAGTCTTTCCGAAAGACCTCCTACAAGACGACATCCATTTGAAATGCCTTCAGATGCTAAGGTATTTTGTTCTTGAATTCTAACCCCAAAGGAAAAAAATGCGTTTAGAGTATTTATTGATCAATGATCAAAGGGCGAAGTTCAGCATTAGCTGTTTTACCACTTAACCCTGGACAAACACAAATAAACAGCCACACCCATCTGGGATTCGAACCCACGACCACTTGTATACAAGTGGTCGTGGGTTCGGACTATAATCCGCATCACGGTATACCGAGAGCAAAATATTTTTCACAACACTCCAAAAGTACTTTAAATACGTACGTATTGTTTGTAAATATTAGAAAAAAATATATGGCATATTCTATTTTGAATAATTGTATCTCTGCGCAGTAGATACCAGATGGATTTATCTATGCGCAGTAGGTACCAGATCACCGTAACCATGCTCAATGGTTTTTAGATGATCCATGCGCAGTATTCAACAATTAAATAAAAGTGAACGTTTTAAGATGGAGAGTAATTAATAAACATAGAAAAAACGACACGAGACGGAAGTGACGTTATATACAATAAATTCAAACTATATGCAGAAGCCTTCATTTTCACCAGCGACCCTTCTAGCTTAGTTCACCTAGCTCAGTTAACATAGCGCTCGCTTAGCATGCGAGAGTTACCGGGATCGATACCTGGCGCCTGCATATAACTTTTTTGTTTTTTTACACCAATGCTTGCTAGAAGTATTCACGTGCTCAATACCATCAACCGGCATTTATTTATCACAACATTAAATAAATTCTATACTTTGCAGAATGGTTCTAATCTTTGAATACAGTCCATATTTCTTCGTTTGTAGTGTACTTTCTCTAACTCCTACATTTTTCAATATTGAGTAATTTTTGTATGTATTACGCGATATTTTAGATACGATCAATGTCAGCCATAGTAACAAGCAGAAAATATGTCAACACTCCAATTTTTTTCTCCATGTATACTTTTAATAATGCTCAAGAAAAACACATTTTGATTGGGAAGTTTATGAAGGAACTTAATAAATTTAAAAAGAATATTAAGGAAACAACGTAAGAAATAATTTTTTTCGGGATAAGTTTTTTATTTTTGTAATTTTTAGTAAGAACATCAAATATAGGAGATTTATTGTGGATATTGTAAATGAAATTATAAAAAAACGTCAAATGTTCATTGATAAAATTTACATAATTTTTATGAAACATATAGAATCAAACACAATGTTTTTGGATATGGTAGTATTTTCCAAACACTGCCTACCAATATGCCTAAAGTAATTTTCCAGGAAAAAATGTTGACCGAAATGAAAAAATTCTGCTTAGCTTTCAAACTCCCATTCGACGAAAATTTGTTTCAACTATCAAAACCTCAAAATCCAATCCATTTACAAGAGTCCATAACTACAGAGTTAATAACTATAACAGCCAAGTCCAGTTTATCTAGACTTACAGAATGCACTGAGCCCAATTCTATAGACAATGAAGATTCTACTAGAATCATAGACGGGTCTCCTATACCCAGTTTCAGAAGCATTGAAGTCTTGCCAGGTTTTGAGAATTTAGATACAAAAGAAGATGCGATTGAACCTTCAAGTAAGGATGTTTCAACACAAAAAGATCTACCAAAGGTTCTACAAAAACCAACCATAAAAATACATCTAAAAAACTCCCACATCAAACAGGAGGACTATATTTTGCTGGAGTGCCCTGTATATATACCCAGGATAATTTTTGAGAGGTCCAACAAGGGTAAAAAAGTTAAAAGAAGTGTGGATAATATCAGGATAGATGCCAGTGTTTCAAAAGTAGGAATTAAAAGAAAATAATTTAATATTTATTCATTCAAAAATACATTACAAAATACTCAAATTACACCCTTCCTTTCTATTACTTAAATGGACCTCTGCTATTTTGGCAAACTCATTTCTATTAAGCAACTCATAAGAACTCTTTAGAAATCTCAATGCAGTAGAATTTAAAGTTTTTATACCATGTGCCATAATATTCCATCCTAATTCCACGCCAGTGCCAAAATCACACTCATCTAGAGCTATACTGGCAAAAGTAAAACATGGTTGAAGATCTGACAAAATTTTCGATTCTTGGTCCTTATGGCATTTTGAAAGTTTGTTGAGAAGGTTTAAGAGGTCTTTGTTGTTAAGGGCCAGTTCTCTGTAGCCTAAATCTGTCCTGAAATTAAAAAATGTTATTTTTTCAATTGCCAGTTATGTTAAAAACACACCAAAAATATCATCAAAATTAAACAATTGTTTGACAGTTGGGCGCCAATATTTTTATTTATTTTATCTTTTTTGTTGAGAATTAAAAAGTCTACAATTTTTCATATTTAGCCTAATTATTTGTAAAAAAAAACCTGATTATAATCATGAAACTAATTTTTTAAATGAGAATAATTACAGGTTTAACTCACTTTTTTTGAATGGGCACTACCAAACCAATTTTATTGAATGTTCTAGTGACAATTTTTTTTTCTCTTTGAATCATATCATCCGTTTTTGCTTCTAAACTTAATTTTAAAGATTTTGCTTTTTCTAATAATTTATTTTGATATTTTGATACATTCATTTTTTGAAATGGATCTCCAGTTTTCTTTAATTTCTCCAAATGAACACTAAAAAAGTATTTAATATTTTTTTGAAACATTTTTAGAAAATATTTTTGTACTTTATAGCTGCAAATATATTTTCCCCCATGTGCTGTATCACACCATCAACTCTACTTTTATTTTGTACCATAAAAACAGGTTTTTCTTTTGGATCATCTCTCCAATAACCAATATGAAACCCAGATTTAATATCACCCATTAAAACTGTTTGAAATTCAGGAGGATCATAAAAAAACCTCCAGTGTAACAAATAATCATTGTCTGACTTTTTACAGTTATCAAATTTTCCTTAAATAAAACAATTTTACAATAAAACGCAAAAATATAGTAGATAATTTCAAAAAACCTGCTAAAACATCATAGGGCCCAACAAGAGTCAACCCTACCTCTTTAAAAGCTTCCAGAGGTTTACCAGGTTTCAAACTCTTGCAGAAATCCCAAAAATGATAAAAATCCCCTGGCATATCAACCAAAAACTTCTCTTTTATAAACTTTTTAACATCGTCTATTTTAACCAATTTAAAATCTGCTACAATACTACTTTTTTCTTCACTATCACTTTTATCATCGATTTGTGTGCTATCCTCAGAATAATCAGACTCTGAAATCTCTTCTTTTTTCTTTTCCAAAGCCTCACTTTGCTCAGTATCTGAGTTTTTGTCGCTCTCAGATTCCGAGACATCATTATTTATTTTTATGGTTTCCACTCTTTTGTCATCTTTCTCGATCTTCATACGTTTGTTCGCCTGTGTGTTTGTCGCCTTTATGTTCTAAAATAACCACGAAAAATATACCAATTAAAAAAATATAAGGCCTTTTTTCATTTTACCTCCTTTTTAGGGGGATGTTTGTATTTCTCGTGATGCTGAGAGTTTTTTTGATAACATTTCGCGCCGTAATTACACGGAATTCGCTTATCTTTTACGTAATCTTCCATGTTTGTAGAAGTTTGGCTTATTTTTTAAATAAGGTTGACTATGGGTTGACGGTTAATTTTAAGGTTATAATATTACACAGAACAATTACTTTACAATGTGAGGTATAGATGGCGCCACATAACCTAACTGTTGGCGCCAAGTTGTAAAGTTGCGGGAGCCGTCTTGATCTTTAAGTTTAAATTTTTATTTTAAATAATTATACTGTTATTATTGTTTTTTTATAGTGGGGGTTAAATAAGGGGTGGAATACCCCCATATTGTCTGTATTTTTTATTATTTTTGACTTCTTAAGGGTACTTTAAGAATATTGTTTATATTAAGGCAAAAACTACTAAATTTGGTGTATAGTAACAAAAAATTCGCATTTTGCACGTTGAAAACAAAACAAAACAAACAATATTAGTAACTATTTGTATCAGGCGAGCAGAATGTTGGGAAGGTTTATCAACAAATAAAAGTTGAACTTTCACCACACTGTGTAGGATTTTTGATAACGGTATTGGTACCGTACTGTATACGAAACATTCTTAACTTGCTTGTGTAATATGTATTGCCTACATTTACAACAATTTGTTGTCAAAATAAATAAATAAACAATAAAATAATAACAAAAATTGCGCATTTTTATTTGGCGCAATTTTTTTTTTTCAAAAATGGCGAATGCGCCGGGATTTATAACTAACAAAAATAAAACCAGTTTAAAATATGGAAACAAAAAAATAAATGAATTTAATACAATAATATGGACTTATTTCTTTCATATTCTTTGTTAGTTTAATTAAAAAATACCTACAAACTATATTTTTTAGAAAATAAAAAAAATCGTAAAGGAATAAATTTTAGTTAATAATTTTTATATTCATATAATATATTATATGGGCAAATTTTCGTTAAATGTACATTTGCTGTCCCCAGCTAATTTTATTTTTATTTTTGATCTTTGTTGATAAGTTTTGTATTTATTATATTTAAATACCCCCTTCCTGTTAGGACCCATAATATTTTTTTTAATTACTTTGTGTTTCTATATATGGCAGAAAAACTAGGTGAAATGTCCTGTAACCTAACTGTCCCCAAAGGCGATTTTTTTATTTAAATTATTATATTCTTCTTTGCAGCTTTCTTCTGAAAAAATAAATTATTTTTGAATAATGGAAAGTTATTTTATTCGTATATAAAACTAAAATAGTTTTCTACAAACTAAACTGCGCACCACTCAATGTGTCGCGACCAAAAATTTCGTCCTTTTTCAAAACGACATAACTTTTTTGTTTCTTGAACGATTTTATTTTGGTTTGTGATGTCTGCTAGCCCCATTCTCTGGCAATTCAGGCTATGGATATAAAGCTCACGGTTCTTCAAGTAAATTTACTACAGGGTGATATGTAACAAATTTCAATAACTTCATCCAAGCCCCGTTTGTAAAATAAATATTTTTTTCTCGTTTTTACTTTGAAATAATGAAGTATTATGTCTTACCTTGAAACGTTTATCAAATTTTTCGAATTGAAATATGATTTTTTTTTTCAATGGAGTACATTTGATGCTTTTTTGTAGGAAATACACTCAGCCTTTTTAAGAACAAAAAGATAAGATGGTGAAAGATTGTTTCTTTAATAATTCTGAACAAGGGACAAGCAACAAACTTCCATTATTTTCAGAGGAACCTAAGCAAAGACCACTTTCTCAAAATAAAGTTTTGGTGAAAATTTTAGAAAACTAAACCTGAACCGATATTTACGTTCGTGACATGTTTTCTTCACAATTTTGACCTGATTGTGATTCGGTTGTCAAATTTAGGTTTCAGATAAAACCAAAATCACCAAGAATCAAAATTCGAAAACAATTCCTGGCTGTTAAATTTCTCAATAAAATCTGATTGCTGGATTGTACTGTTTTTTACTGTATTTTGCATCTTTAGTACGTATTATCATGTCACTGAATGATCAAATCAAGAATCTAGTGATGAAAATTAAATGTCAATAATTTGGTGTTGGTGGACGACAATGCCCGTCCGCATCGCGCTAATATCGTAAATGAGTACCATGATATTGAGAGAATGAATTGGCCACCTTTGTCTCCGGATATGAATCCTATTGAGCATGTGAGGAGGAGGATGAAACTGAAGATGAAAGAGAGAAAAGGACGCATGGAAAATTTGGATGAATTGGTAAATTCGATTCAGGAAGAATGGGAAGCCATACCCCAGGAATTTCTAAGGAACTTGGTGTAGGGAATGCCCAGGAGGGTTAACGAATTATTACGGGTTAGGGGAGGGCCAACGAAATATTGAAAGTTATTATTGTTATTGTTTGTTACATTTTTCTGTTGAATGTTGTAGTTTTTATTTAGATTTTATCTTCGCATAAAATTTTCAAAAATGATCAAAAAAATTTTGTATTTAACTTTATTACCAATTAGGTAGGTATTAGGGATGTCAATCCCGAAAGGTTTTCGTAATCCCGGGATTTTCGAGATTTGTACTACTAATCCTGGGATCCCGGGATTGGATGTTAAAAAAAAAAAATAAAAAAAATACCGCAAAAATATTAGTGCGTCTAGAGTTTTATCTCCCAGCCTCGAAAGTATTTTGTTACATAAAAATCCTCTCAGATTCGTGACCTTCTAACCTCAATAGCTCGAAATCTGTTCAATATTTTTTCTTAGTACCAGAAAAACTTTTTATCAATAGATCATAAACTACATGCTACAACATATCCAAAATTCAGATATTTTCATTGAAGTCCAAACTCCCATTAGTTTTGTGCGAGGGTTAGTAGGTATTAAAATTAAAATCGTGCATTACCTATCTTTATATTTATTAGCCTCTTGGCACGTTAGATCCATTTTACACAATAACTAACAAAATCTTCTTTGAATAAAATATTCAATACAACATCTAATCACAGAGGGCACATCTAATCTAAGCGAGTAAATTATAATTATTGTGCCGCGGTGAATCCCCAAATTCAGGTTTAAGTGTGCGTCATGTTTTCGGATTGCAGGTTGCAACGTTGCCGGCTTTCGCGTTAATTACTTTAATTTTGAAATAGCGTACGTAAGCTATTTAATATATGCATACAAAATCGGTATTAATCCCGGGATTAGGTAATCTTGTCCCGGTATTTTCGAGACAGGTTTTTTCTTCGGGATCTCGGGATTTCGGGATCCCGGGGTCCCGGGATTGACATCCCTAGTAGGTACTTATCAGTAATAATTTATCACAAGTGCACAATATAAATGTAATTTATGTAACATTATCCTAACCACTCAAACAAACTGCAGTAATTTCTCCCAAAAAATGAATACCGAAATGGCATTGGCAAAGGCATGTTATTGAGACATTTAACAGCCGGGAATTGTTTTCGAATTTTGATTCTTGGTGATTTTGGTTTTATCTAAAACTTAAATTTGACAACTGAATCACATCAGGAGGTCAAAATTATAAAGCAAACATGTCACGAACGTAAATATCGGTTCAGGTTTAGTTTTCGCAAATTTTCTCCAAAATGTCATATTAAAAAAGTGGTATTTGCTTAGGTTCCTCTGAAATTAATTGAAGTTTGTTGCTTGTCACTTGTTCAGAATTATTCAAGGAACAATCTTTCACGATCTTATCTTTTTTATCTTAAAAAGGCTGAGTGTATTGTCTACAAAAAAGCATCAAATGTACCCTTTTGAAAAAAAAAATCATATTTTCGTTACTTAGATTCCAATTCGAACGAACGAGAAAAAAATAATTTTTTTTACAAACGGGGCTTGGATGAAGTTAGTGAAATTTTTTACCGTTTTACATATCACCCTGTAGGAAATTTACTTGAGGAACCGTGAGCTTCATATCTATACCATGAATTACCAGAGAATGAAGCTAGCAAACATCACAAACCAAAATAAAATCGTTCAAGAAACCAAAAAGTTATGTCGTTTTGAAAAAGGACGAAATTTTTGGTCGCGACACATTGACTGGTGCGCAGTTTAGTTTAAACAGAAAAAAATATTAAAGTTGACATTTAAAAATCTTGTCTTTTTCCTAACGTCGTCTTCTATGCCGACTGCTTTGAAATAGAGACACGAGATATATCTCTATAGAGATACTAGCGTTTTATTTCTAGAGGGTATCCAGTTTGATAGTTTGGCAACAACAGGTGAGCACGTGTAAAGTGTGTGTATTTTAAAGGTAAGATTTTTTTGCGTACACTTTTTGGTGTCTTTTACAAAACGCTACATACAACTCTTGTTTTAGAAATTCCAAACAAATGCCGAAAGATATTTACATTTAACAGTATTTCTGAAATATGTATAACGTTTGAAAGTCAAAAGCAATGTGTCATAAAACGTTCAGGAAGATGCGTTAGGACTCCTAACTTAGGAGGACACTGTTTCATTTTTTCCTTGTGTTCCTTTCCTATTTCAGATTAACCCTATAAGTTTTATTTCTTTAAAGTTTATTTTTGTTATTTATAAACTTATAGAATTTTTTTGCAGTCTATTACACTGTTCTATCACAAATTATATATACAAAATGTATACATTTAACAAAAATTCGTGATATTTCACGAGAACTATGAATTTAATCGGTTTAATCAGTAGTTGTTTTTTCTTGGAAAATGTTGAATTCAAAATAATTTAATAAAATCACGAGACAGCGTAGCAGTCGATGGGTTTTATTTTTAATTATTTTGCATTAAACTATTTTCCAAAAAGAAAAATCAAATAAAAAACTTGCTAAGCATAGTTTGACAGATTAAATTTATAAGTTGAGTGTTATACGCTAAAGAAGTATCGGGTTTTCGCAACGCGCGCGCCATCTGGTGGACTTGGAATGCATTGCGTGAATTTAAGAATAATTTATTGTTGACAATTATTGCCAACAATAAATTTAAAGCACCGATTATACATCATTTTTAAATAAATAGGTAGTTTTTTTACAAAAGAGAGAAAGGCAGAAGTCTTACTCGACAAATTTTGTTCAATTGCACAGCTAAATCGCGCACGATATTTGTGTTTTACGTTGCAAGGAATAAATTAAAAAACTATTTTAGTACTCGATTTCGATTGATTATTCCTTATATCATTGATTAAAAAACTCAACGCTTAAATGCTTATATAGTTACGTTAGTGTGTGTATTTTATCAAAGGGATCATGGTGAATTATTGTGTTTTTAATTGTAAATAAAATTCAAGAACTAAATGTTTTGCCAAAGGATCCAATTCGGTAAGTACATTTGTTGGTGCAGAATTAACTAATGATAACTTTACCTAATATAATTTATATTTAAGTTTGAACTTTTTTAAGAAATTAGTAAAAAATAATTTTTGCACAAAGATAACCTAAAAATCAATCATTTTTCTATTTGAGTTCTCTATAAAAAACGCCGACAACTGCATTTTAAACAACAAAATATACCTACGAATTCATGGCAACATAATATTATCATTGACTCTTCACTCAACGATATTATATATAATACATAATATAACGGTATTTTACCGTTTCGTGGAGACTTTAAAGAATTCTTAATCAACGCTTTTAATAATGCTAAATGCTGTTTAAATTTAGACGACTTATTTGTTTGACGATTTTTACTGAATTGAAATTTTTACACTTTTCACGTTAATCACTACTAAAATGTGTATTTATTGTATCTAATAGGTACTTTATATTTACAGAGACTGTATGCAATTTATTTCTTCATTCAGATTAACACTGTTTATTGGAAAACCAGTAAAAACTCAACCCAGGATTTCCTCTCGAAATACACCCAACAACACAACAAATCGATCCACGGTTTTTTTCCGATATTTTTTAACATTTTCCGGCTTTATTCTCAAAAACACTTGTTTGTAACCATAGCATAGATAATAAACCTAAGTGTTTGACAGCTGATTATTAAAAGTTCTACTTTTGTTACGATGATAACAGCCGAGTGGTGGCGCTACTAGCGATACTTCTTTAGCGTATACGTCTAGATTATTTCTCGAATTAAAGGAAACTATTTAACAATTAATAAAATCTGACGTATGTATATGTCAAAATTTATGAACAATTTTTTAAACAAAATTCCATTTATTTAAAGGTATGTAACAATTAATAATTGATATTTCGTAACTAGATAATTTATTTTTTATTGTTTTCTAAAAAATGTATGTTAAAACTTGTAAATAACACCAAAAATCGTAAACAAAAATCCAATATGGAGGCTAAAATGTCATCGCAGTTCTAGCTTATCTAAACAAAATTTATTCGAAAATTTAAGGCTTTTGATTGGTTCATTTTATGATGAGGGAAATAATCTTGGCAAAAAAAATTAAATGATTTTAAAATTGGTAAAAAACTCAAATATTTTTTGCGTCGGGATTTATTGCTATTATATAATAGCAATAAATCCCTATATAGTATACTAGGGTCTTAATAAATAAATTTTAAATTATAATATTAAACAAAACTTCTTGTTTTGTGCTATTTTAAGGTAGGTACCTATAGAAACCAAACTATGATTTTAAAATTTTTACCCAACAAAAGTGCGCTGTTTTTTTAAATCCCTCTAAATTTTAGTTTTATCGAGAATTTAATAACTAAAAAAAGTAGGTACGCTCTTTTTTGCAAAAATGGCGAATGCATCGGGATTTATTGCTATTATAGTAAGGGTCTTAATAAATAAATTTTAATTTATAATATTAAACAAAACTAATTGTTTTGTGCTATTTTAAGGTAGGTACCTATACAAACCAAACTAGGATTTTAAAATTTTTACCCAACAAAAGTGCGGTTTTTTAATCCCTGTAAATTTTAGTTTTATCGAGAATTTAATAAATAAAAAAAGTACGCTCTTTTTTGCAAAAATGGCGAATGCATCGGGATTTATTGCTATTATAGTAAGGGTCTTAATAAATAAATTTTAATTTATAATATTAAACAAAACTTCTTGTTTTGTGCTATTTTAAGGTAGGTACCTATACAAACCAAACTAGGATTTTAAAATTTTTACCCAACAAAAGTGCGGTTTTTTAATCCCTGTAAATTTTAGTTTTATCGAGAATTTAATAACTAAAAAAAGTACGCTATTTCTTTCGCTGATTCTCTAAAAGTCGTTCTTTTGTCACCCTATAGGGTATACCCTAATTAGCTGGCCATACACAGACGTTATTGCGCGCGGTTTATCGTGTTATCTGCAAAAACATATGGAAAATCATGTACGTGAGTGAGTATCGCCGCGCGAAATGATAGAACGGGAAGGGATTTCAGACGTGCTTTTCTCTGGAGTGTGGCGTGTCCACACGCCACATTCCGCGTCACGGTTTACCTTTGCTTGGCAAAATTTCACGGTGAAAATTTGTACATGATCACATGCAGTTTCAAACGACTCGATAAATGACACTTTTTGCCCATTCACATACGATTTTTCCTTTGAAACTGATATACCACGGGCAATCACTTGCTAAATCATTTGAATACTTTATCAAGTGTATGGAACATGACGCTTTTTTTGCCATGCCGTTCTTTCGTGCATACTAACCGCTACATCCCAACACGCCACGATAAACCGCGCGAAATAACGTCTGTGTATGGCCAGCTATTGTACCGAATTCAGAATAGTTTTGTAGAAGCTATAATGCGTTAAACCATTAAAATTACGTATTTTAAAATATTAGGCTACTCTGTCTAAAATTTCATGAAAAGAAGGAGCGTAGTTTTTTCAGTATACCTACCCTAAAAAATGTATTAAAATCAAATAAAAATTGTAAAAGTTTTAAAAAATCTTTATAACTGTTATAAAATAAATATATATGTGGTCCATTAGAAGTTTCTGGAGAACGAAAAAAGATATCGATTTGAAATTTTAAAAGCGTTCATAATCCATTTAAGTCTATTTTTCTAAAATATTTTGAACAATACAATTTTGTTATTTTAAATGAAACACAACATATATTTTTACATTTTTAAATTCAACATCAAATTCTGAGTAAAATTACTATACCATATGGTAAAGTACATATGTACTATACCTAAAGTGAATATTTTTCGAGTTTGATATCTTTTAAATAATATTTTAAGATTTCAAAAATTCCAACCCCATATTTGCAAACCTAATATCAAAGAAGTTATAGGCTATTTTTGATTGACGCGCATTTAATAAATTTTAACGAAAAAAATTAATAACTCGAAAACTATTTACTTTAGGTATCTGACATGGTATAGTAATTTTACTCAGAGTTTTATGTAGAATTTAAAAATGTAAAAATATATGGGGTGTTTCTTTTAAAATAACAAAGTTGATGACACTTCCAGTTAAACCGGAAATAGACTTACAAACACTTTTAAAATTTTAAATCGATATCTTTTTTCGTTCCCCAGAAACTTCTAATGGACCACGAATGCGAAACACCCTGTATACCGAAACACGATCTTAGAACACACTCAAAAATAATTTAAAAATTCAACGTTTTAGTACATTTTTAAAGCGTTTTAATTATGGGAGATAAGCCCTTACGTAATGAGAATACGAATTGGTAACTTTATTTAGTAAGTATTAAAAAAAGAAAATTGCCACTTTCTCTTAATGCCCATTAAAAGAATGATATTATGTATAGTATACAAACCTGATCTGTATACAGACGCGCGTTTTTGAGAGGGAATTTTTTGAAGCAGGTGTTTTTGAAGGTGGCACTGTACACATGCGTCCAAAGTAACGCGGTTTGAATCAATACAATCAAAGGTAAACCAGAAATTTGTTGTTTAAGGTGAACCTCTGTGTTGTTGTTTTATAAAAATGGTTTAATAACTGTGATAATGACGACCTGGATTTTATATTTATTTTTGTGTATTTTGTGTTTTCTCTTGACGCTTTATTTGGTTTTGGAGTTGCACTATTTTATCAGGTCGTTTTGGTGCATTTTATTCGCAAAAATAGTGAGGAAGAAAGTTCATATTTTAGAAGAAACTAAGATCAGAGGTGAGCTAAATTTTTTTGCATGTTAATGGGTAACTGTTCTTTTAAATATATTATATAAATAACTGTTTTTCTGTAAACAAAATTCAAGGCACAATCTAGAATCAAAAACCTTGTTAGATCATAAAAAATGTAATTAATTAATTTATTGCATGGCATAAACTTGATTTTTAATATAAAACACGAATAATTTTTCTTTAGCAAAAAACTGTGACATCATTAAAAAGAGCTTTATTTTATTATACCCTTGCATTTTCATAAAAAATAGTTTTTGTAAAAGTTACACAACATTAAAAAAATAAAGTCAATTTTAAATTTGTATCATTTTTTGTGTTTTTTCAAGGTATATAGAAAATGCGTAATTTTGTAAATATACCCTAAAAATTTAATTAATTTTTAACAAAAATTCTAAAAGTTACAAGTGTTTTTAGATTGGTTGACAAAATTTCAAAAATAGTTGTATTTTAATAAAACTTTTGGGATATGCCGATAAAATTACGAATTTTAAAATATTACCAACAAAAAAATAGCCCTAGCTTTAAAATGTATTAAAATATATATAAGGTACCTTATATATATTTTAATGGACACGTGTCCCAAAAGTGGCGGCCCAAAGGATAAATTCCTCTTGAAATTCCAACTCAAATTTTCCTTAACCATTTTTAACCTGGTAGAGTAACTTCTGCAATTTTGTGAATTCAAAAAATTATGAAGAAAAATTTGTCTTATAATTTTATGAGGAATTTAGGTTAACGCTTCGGGCCGCCAATTTTGGGATACCCTGTATATAGGGTAATTATTTAAAAAGGTTTTTAAATAATTTTCCTATATACCTACAGTGAATGCGATTTAAATTAAAATGGAAAATATTTTAATTTTTTAAGGCCTACTGAGGAGTTAAGGCCTACTGAGGGGTTAAGGCCTTTTAAGATCTGCTAAATGGGTTGAAATTTAAAGATCGACCATTAGAAATTTAAATTTATAAAATAAATTTATAAACTATTTAAGGATTACAAAAACCGCTCTCTTTAACTGACGTTATAATGATTATTATGATATATTTTAATTAGCTGTCTCTTTATTTTTTATACGTTGTATATAACGTATATAATTATATATAATTGCTATTAATATTATTTGCGTACATACATATGTGATATAATTTGAATTTCATATTCATTAATAATAATTTAAAAAACATTTTTTAGGAATATGTATACCAACTGATATAGACACTCTTTTAACTCATATGAACAACGCGAGGTTTATGAGAGAACTGGACTTCGCGAAATTGGACTTCTACCAAAGAACTGGACTTTGGCAATGCATTAGAAAAAATAATGGAGGACTAGCTGTGGCAGCGACTACTATAAGATATAGACGTTTTATTAAACTATTTACAAGATATTATATCACCACAAAAGTAAGTTATTAATATTTTGCATATTATTTGCATCACACCTACTGTGCTGTGAAGAATGCCGTGCCATTTTATATAGAAAGCAAAGTAGCAAATTTAAAATGATTTAATTCGTTTTAGGTCATATATTGGGACGATAAAAGCATTTATATGGAGCACAAATTTATTTCCTACTTCGATAAATTTATTAACGCCATAGCTTTTTGCAAAGTCAGAATTATAGACTGCGATAGCGAGAACATTTTAACTCAATTGATGAGTACAAATATTCCTGAAAACCCGACAAAAGAAAAACCCGATATACCGCCCGATTTGAAGAAATGGATCGAATATATCGAACTATCTAGCGCACATTTAAGAACACAGCCTGTTGCCGTTGAGTGAAGAGTACATACTTATAATAGGTATAAGGTATTATTTTCAATCAAGGCTATTACTGTGTAATTTATTTATTGATGTACAAAATTTTATTTATTTTACTTGAATAACGACAATACTATACGATTTGACTGATATAACATCATGCTGTAGCGTTATTAAATGTAAATAAATGTATGAATATAAACAGAGAGCATTTTTATTCAAATTTAACTTATCAAATAAGTCACACTTCAACGTAATAGATGGCGCCTAATATCGTGGTTGCCTACCTTCCAAGTAACTATTTAAAGATGGGTTATGTTTATTTGTCAACTTCAAAAAAATCAACATATTTTTTATTAAAATCAGTTAACCGTACATTAGTTATATTCAATTAAAATGGATAAATACATGAAAAGGAAGACTGTCGGTAAGTTTCCTTGCCTTATTTTAAGCGTAACCGGTTAAACTCGTAGATCTTTTAGAAAGTCCCTCGGAAAGTCCTATAAAAAAACGTAAGAAAGATGATTGTCCACATAAAGATAGATGTTACCGAAAAAATCCGCATCATTTTAAGGAGTTTGAGCATCCACATTGTAATATTTTTCATAATTAATATGACTTGTACTATAAATTAATTTTTAGTGGTTAATTTCATAGAAATGGGTGATAATTTGAATATTCCAGATGGGTTAGCACAGCCGAAGCAAGTTTATTTAGAACAGTTAGACATATTAAGACCTATTATGAAGGCCGAAGCTGGTACTGTATATAAAGAAACTAAGGCTTCTCCAAAAGCAAGCCCCCCTAAAATTGATTTCCAAAAAACATCAAAATTATTTGAAAAACAATACAAAAGTGTAATTGACGAACCAAGTTCGTCAAAAACGGGATCAACAGCTAAACAAATTGAGAGAAAAACTGGTATTGCCACACTATCATCTATAAGTGTAATACAGTATGATAAAATGACAACCAAAAACACTATGTTGGACAAATTTGAAAAAACAGCCCCTTATAATATATTTTTCACGCAAATTCCAAAATCCCCTGATACTTTAAAGCAATTTAATTCAGCTACATTTACAGGTAAACAACTTTACACTTGTAAAAACAAAACATTTAAAATATAAAAATTTTAGATATTTTATGTCCCAGTTTGGGAGAACTAACAGATTCTCTTCAAGTTAATTTCATGATAGACATAAGCTGGCTTTTGGAGCAATATAAGGCAAGAAATGTTAGGTAAATCTACAAAATCCCTTAATTGGGATGTAAACACTGCATTTTTATTTTTTTAGCAATAAACCCCTTACAATTTTATATGGGGATGAATTTCCAGATATGGACACTTTCATGGACAGGTTTTGTCCCAATATTACATATAAGTTTGTCAAAATGAAGGATCCTTTTGGGTGTCATCATAGGTATACCTAATTATAATTATAATTTAAGTTTGACATTTAAAATACCCACCTTTATAACCTGAAAAATGTCATTAAAAATCCTACCATTTTTGTTACAGAGCCAAAGTAGTAACATTTTAATGAAATTTTAAGGGTACCTATACCCAAATATACTGATAAAACCCGGACAACATTCGTGATATTCATACGAACATCATGTCGTGATTTTCACAAATTTTATTCATACTGATATCATACGGAAGTCGCCGCGTGATAAATGAAAATCATAAGAATGTCACGTCGTGATTTTCACAAATTTTATTCATACGGACATCATCCGGATGTCACTGCGTGAGAAATGAAAATCATGTCGTGATTTTTTATGCCATCGCTGTTTGCGATGGACCGATGGTACAAAAATCATGGTATGATTTTTTATGCCAACGGTGTTTGGATAATCATTTTTGCGCCACGTTCGTACACTAAGAAAAAAATTATGTTGAATCAACAGTTTTTGCGGTTAAATACATTTAATATTTTTTTGGATTTAAATTAACTATATATAGTTAATTTAAATCCAAGAAAATATTGAATGTTAAACTGTTGATTCAATTGTTAACATACTTTTTCAATGTACGAATGTGTCGCAAAAATGAATATCCAAACACCTATGGCATAAAAAATCATGTCGTGATTTTTATGACCAAACACCGATGGCATAAAAAATCATGTCGTGATTTTTTATCCCATCGGTGTTTGGATATTTATTTTTGCGCCATTGAGAGAAAAAGTATACCTACATAATATGTAGGTATACTTTTTCTCTCAATGGCGCAAAAATAAATATCCAATATTATATATTGAATCAACAGTTTTTATGGTTGAATACATTTAATATTTTTTTGGATTTAAATTAATAGTTAATTTACATCCAAGAAAATATTAAATGTATTTAACCGCAAAAAACTGCTAATTCAATTGTTAACATACATTTTCTCAGAATGTACGAACGTGGCGCAAAAATGATTATCCAAACACCGTTGGAATAAAAAATCACGACATGATTTTTTAGGCCATCGGTCAATAGCAAACAGCGATGGCATAAAAATCACGACATGATTTTCATTTCTCACGCAGTGACATCCGGATGATGTCCGTATGAATAAAATTTGTGAAAATCACGACGTGACGTTCGTATGATTTTCATTTATCACGCGGTTACTTCCGTATGATATCAGTATGAATAAAATTTGTGAAATTCACGACATGATGTTCGTATGAATATCACGAATGTTGTCATTCAATTAAAAAAGATATTCCAATATTTAACAAAACGGTCACGTTTTGTTAAACATTGAAATATCTTTTTTAATTGAACCCGGACAACATTCGTGATATGCAAACAACGTTTTATAAATTATAACGGTGTAATATGAATAACAAACTAGGTTTTAAATTCGCAGTTCGCAGGTCTCATAGGCATGCGAACATTTTGCAAATATCACACCGTGAGTTCTACATGATATCACTGGGATGAAGCATGTGTATGCACTCAGGATTTCACAGCGTGATAAATAAAATCACGTTGTGATATCATCATGACTTCACCAGGAAATCCCGATTGTTGTCCGGGAAATACATTTTTGCACTTATATAATTTTAAGATTTTTTATTTTTTTTAGTAAAATTGGCATCTATGTATACAGTGATAAGTCTATAAGAGTGGTAGTATCTACAGCTAACTTATACTATGAAGATTGGAATCATTACAACCAGGCGTAACTTATTTGAACTCTTATTTATTTTTTGTAACTTTAATATTTTTAGGTTCTGGATGAGTCCTAGATGCCCAAAATTACCGGAAAACTCCAAGGAAACAGACGGGGAATCCCCAACAGGCTTCAAAATATCCCTTATAAACTATTTGAAACACTACAATTTTGATATATTAAACAAATGGATTTCCTACATAAAAGATTGCGATTTTTCTGCTGTAAAAGTGTTTTTGGTGACTTCAGTACCAGGTAAACATTACGCAAATTTTAATACAGGCTGTCATCTACACAGAGTTGGCGATTTACTGTCGCGACACTGCGTGTTACCCCAAAAAACCACCCCTGAAAGCGAGGGACCCCTTTCCTGGGGGGTATTTGCCCAAGCCTCAAGCATAGGCTCGATGGGTAAATCCCCAGCGGATTGGTTAAGGGGTTGCATACTCAGAAGCCTTGCTAGCCATAGTAAGAGCCCTCTACCAGCCAGTAGTAACGCTACGTTGAATCTGGTTTACCCCAGCGTTGAGAATGTAATGAGGGGGTATTTTGGGGCTGAAAGTGGGGGTTGCCTACCTTACTCTAAGCTGACGAACGAGAAACAAAGATGGTTGCAGGAATATATGCAGTATGTTGTATTTTATTTATTTTTGTTGTTTTTGAAGTTTTTTTTCAGTCAATGGAAAGCTGATGGCTTGACCAGAACTAAAGCAATGCCACACATAAAATCCTACACAAGAGTTTCGCCGTGTATGTCCAAATTGGCGTATTTTTTGCTTACCAGTGCCAATTTGTCAAAATCTGCCTGGGGTGGAAATATACAAAGAGATAAAGGTGTTGTGCAACTAATAAATTCCATTTAATAAAGCGTATTTTTAAAGGATACCCTCAAAATTTCATTATATTTTAACGATTTTTTTAGACGTTACAAACCTTTTCACTTATAGGCATTTTTTATATTTTGGCGCCCTGTTTAAAACGCTTTTACAATGTTTAATGTGTTTTAAAGAAATGTTTCTTTTGATGGCATTTTAAAAATTGTAATTTGGTTGGTATACCCTAAAGTTACTGTTTGTATCTTTTTGTTATATTTTAAAAGCTAACTTTTACAATAGATTGATTTTGATGAAATTTTCATGGTATGCCAACAGAAATACGCTCTTTTCGACGCCTTTAATAATTTTTTATTTTCAGGTATTTCTGTAAGATCATATGAAGTCGGTGTAATGTTTTTGCCCAAATTTTTTGATGATGAATATTTTGAAATAAAAAATACTGTAAATCGTAAAAGTAAGAACGTTTTTCCATTTATGTATGATTTACCATTAACACCATACAAATCTGATGATTATCCATATTGTAACTAATTTTTTAAAATCAATGTAATGTATTTATTTAATAAAACTTTTTCATTTATCTTACAGACTACAATTATGGGGCCATCTGGGAAATGGTATAACATCCTTAATATTAGTAATCCCTGTAATAAATTGTATATATCTTTCAAATCCCATCCCAAAACCTCCTGTGGGAACTCCCCCAAATTTCCTCAAATCTAAATACCAGTCTAAATTAGTACCTTCTGGAATTTTTTCCTTTAATTTTTCATAGCTATTTTCACGGAGGCTTCCCCCAACTAATTCCCCCACATTTGGAACCAAAAGATCCAGGGCTGAAACCTAAAAAAAAGAAACAAAATTCTGGGAGTATATAAAGTAAAAAACTTACTTTTTCTGTATTATCTGAAAATTCCCTCATGTAGAAAGGCTTCATATTTTTGGGCCAATTTATCACAAAAGTGGGAATATTACCTAGGTGTGACACCAAAAAAATTTCGTGTTCTTTAGCAAATCCATCATTGGTATCAAAAGGTTCTTTGTACTTATTTTTATTGTTTTCTAATATTTTAACGGCTTCATCATAAGTTAACACGTTAAATTTCTTATCTAACCAATGAAAATCACTTTGTGGTGATTCAGAAGAGACCTCTATATCAGCCTGATTTGTGTCTAGTATATTTTGTGTTATACTCTTTAATAGACTTTCTATTATTTTCATAATCCCATCTATGTTTTCAATAAATGCCTTTTCAGCTTCTAGCATATAAAATTCTGATAAATGAAGCCTAGATCTGGAATTTTCAGCTCTAAAAGTTGGCCCAAAAGTGTATACAGACCCTAAACCATGACAAGCTGCTTCTAAGTGTAACTGACCAGAAACACTTAAAAAAGCTTTAGTATTGAAAAAACCCTCATCCAAACTTAGACCCTCTTTTATCATACTTTTAATAATCTCTTTACTTTCTGGTATAACCTTAAAAACCTCTCCTGCTCCCTCACAATCATTTGAAGTCAATATTGGTGACTGTACATTTAAAAAACCTTCATTACAAAAAAAATTATGTATTGCTAAATTTGCAGCACTTCTCACTCGAAGCATAGAGCTAAACTTATTTGTCCTTGGCCTAAATTGTAGATACTGGCGAATATACTCTAATGTATACTGTTTTCTTGGCATGAAAGGGTAACCTTTTGATAAAACACATTCCCCTATTAAATCAATATTTTCCGCGTTTAACTCCAACTGCCCCTTAGGAGAATGCTTTAAAACCCCCATTACTCTTATCGAAGATCCTGTATTTACCCCATAAGGTGTTATTTTTTGCGGTATGAATATTTGCAACTTTTTATCCGTAGAACCATCATTTATATCTATAAAAACGTTTTCTTTCTGATTTCTCATCGATTTCACCCATCCCTACAAGGTATTTATTTAGTTATTCAATATTTTACCAAAAATTATAATTTTACCTACTTGGACTACTATTTCAGTACCGACTTGGCCGGATTTAAGTATATTTAATATATTATTATTATGATTACAGGCGTAATTTCTTTTAATTATAGTTGCAATATTTTTAAACATTTTTTTAGATTATCACAATCCACATGGAATCATAGATGACCGAAGGTGGAGATTATGTTTTCATAATGTCTAGAGTCCCGTCAGACGGTTCTCTTAAGCCGGATTTATAGTTCCAAAACGTAGCCGTAGTCGTTGCAGTTGCAGTTGCAGTAGGGGCAAAACAGTCTGTGATTGGCTGGAGGATCTTTGCAGTAGCATCCAAGGTCGTTGTCGTAAGTTGTCGTAAGAGATGACCAACTTTTATCTTTTCTTGCGGCAACGACTACTACAGCCAATCAAATTGCAGATATTGCAGAAAAACTGTCAAACTCAAAAACAAGGCTCCCAAACCATTTTTATAAGTAAACTAAACCAAATAAACAAAGCGAAAATCACCGATACAAAATACTTGAAATGTTTGTAAACAGAACAAATGTCACTACGCGGCCACTACTGCAACCGCTACGCGCTGAACTATAAATTGTAAAAATTAGCTACTTACTTACTACAATTGCAACTGCAACGGCTACGGCTACGTTTTAGAACTATAAATCCGACTTAACACTTTATGACGTCACACACTGTAAATCGGTATTATTTTTCGAGCAATAGGATTTTTACAATAAGTTCGGTAGCTCGATGGAAGGGCGCATGCTTTGCATGCGAGAGATACAACTCTACAACTCTTTTTAATTTTTTTTAAAGAATTTATATACCGAAATAATACAATGTGGCCTTAAAAGCATTTATATTTAATTTTACATTAATATTTTAATTTATTTACCTTTCCTCATAATCATTTTGCTACAGTTATATAATATAAAATGTAATTAAATGAATATTCCTTCGTTGAAATGGGGCGGGGTCGGTTGGGTTGTGTTGTTGAGTTTGGGTTGTTTTCTCTCATTTTTGACCATTTGACCAATGAGGCGGGGGGGGGCAATGGGGCGGGGTCGGTTGGGTTGTTGGGTTTGGGTTGGTTTTGAAGCGGGCGGACTCGGGACGTTAGAAAAAAAGATCTGCTTCCCGTCCTAAGATTGCGTCATTGGATGACGTCACTCTGTTGACGGGAGCGCAATAGGGAACCGTCTGACGGGACTCTAGACACGGCGTTATGTTTTTACATGACACTTATATGTAAGGTTATGTTGGCGGTGTCAGATTTTGTAAGGTTATGTTTGAAATTAATTTCTGTTATTTCAAGCACCAAATTTTTTGAAATTAGTCATTTATAGATAATTTAACATGGTTTTTATTGTTTAATAGATAAATCTAAGTAATAATAAGTGTTTTATACGTTAAATTACCCTTGAAACCTTATTTTGGAGGGAAACTGTGAAGTTACTGTGATTAAAACGAAAAATGGCCTTTAATTTTGGAACCCCGTAAGTTAAAATGTTAATTTAACAATATTTAGTTATTGTTATAATATTATTAAATGTTTTAGGCAAGGAGCTCCTCCTGCTTTCGGAGCTCAAACATCTACGTTTGGTCAACCTCAACAAACCCAACAGACGCCTCAATTTGGCGCTCAAAGTGGCGGATTTTCTTTTGGCGCTAACACGGCGCAACCACAAGCACAAGCGCCAAGTAAGTTTTTTGTAGTTATATAAAACTGGTGAAACATTTTTTTGGATATATTAACTTTTCTGTTAGTTGGAGGTAAACAATGAAAATTGTAGATAATTAAATTCTCTCATTAACCCTTCATTAGTCGCACTGTTTTCTGAAACGCCATTAGTTGCTTTGGTGTCTGAGACCAAAAGTTAAAAATTACGTTTATTAAATATCTTGAGTGTATATTTAAATTTTTAAGAAAAACGCTATGTTAATATTTTTAAAAGTAATGTGTTTAACAAATGTCAATATAATAACAAAACAATCAGAAGAAATATTTTATTTTGACTTTTTCTTGTCTTTCCTTTATGAAATCTTCTTCGTCATTGTCTTCATAGTCATCAAAATTACTTTCATTTTCAGAATCTTTCTCTTTCATTAGTTTTTTAAGTCGTTGTTGGCTGGCTTTGAAAGAATACATAGTTAAATTTTTAAAACCTTAATACTCGCATCCGTCTCTTGCACCGAAATTAATTCTGGAAGCCGCTAAATGGTGTAATTGAATGGTGTTATAGAACAGGGAACCAACGCTCACTGTTGCAAAACTAAGAAAATAGCGTCTAAAAAATTACGTGGTTCCTTTATTACTGTGGTCTTAATTATAGATTCAACGTTTTAATTTTATTTCCAAATCGCTAATTTAGTAGGTACTAAATTTTTATTTCTTATAATATTGTTTTCAATAAAATAAGTAAATTTGTTGGTTGGTCCCTTGTAGAATAAATAAAACTGATAGGTAGTTATTGTTTTATTATAACATGGAAAAATTTATTAATTCATTAATATTGACTAATAAAGTAAATAATAAAAGAATTGGTTTATTCCTATGGCATCATTTGGAATAAGGTGATAAAAAGATTTTAAATCTTTTAATTTTAGCTCTGAGACCCTCCTGATCTTCTCTTATTTTTTTTGGAAATATTGATTTTGTCAAACGGAATTTCTACGTTGTAACTGTCTTTTGTATATAAAACCATCGGTTCATTTTTTTCAACATTATTTTTTTCAACTTTCCAAGTAGCATGGATTCGTAACAATTGTTGCAGTATAAATATATTGCGTTTATTCAAAAGTAATGTTAACGAAGCCGCTTGGCGCTGTATAACCTTTCACAATTTCAATATATAAGCGAAAGTTGGCACAACCATGCAGCTTAAAGCTTTGTTGAGATCTAAAAACTTTGATTGCAAAGTTCTATATTATTTTGAATATTTTAATTCAATATATTTCCGCTTGTTCTATTTTTTTTTAAATATTTTCAAAAGGTGGCCCTACATGGCCCCATCACGTTAATACATTTATCCCGCTTTTTTTATTATGAGGGATGGTCAGACTAAAGCAGGGTTGCCAGATGGCGATTTCAAAATTTTCCTAGATCAAATTTTATTTTCCCCAAAATGACACTACTTTTTAAACTTTTTCCCAAAATAAAATTTATTCAAATAATAACTCCTATACAAAACTATACATAGTATTTTAAGCATACGTTAATTTGCCACTATGCCGAGCCAATCAGATTGCGGCAACAATGGTGGGGGCGTGGCGTTTGTACCGCCAGATTTAAAATGTTGAAAAAAGAACCCCCTGTACATTGAAAAGCAGTAACTTCTGAAAAAAGTCTAGTACCTCAAAAAATCGTCCATTCGGTTATCTTTGATTACCGTAAGGTTTGGGATCGATTACTTTAAAAATTGGGCTATAATAAAAAAAACAAAAAAGTGATTTTTAAAGCAACGCTCAACTTTTCACACTGCGCATAGCAAAAGAGCACATCATATAGGTGCGCAATGGGGTTTAACGTGTGCCTTATTTAGTACATAATCAAAAGTGTTAGAGGTCAAATTCTAAAAAAAATTCACGGTTAGCGAGTTATGAGCTAAAAAGCAAAAAAACTCCCCTTTCGGGGGATGAAATTAGAGGACGCGGAAAAGTATATTCTGTATCAAGTTTGGAATAAGGCATATTCCGCTCGAGTGAAAAGTTTGTCACACGAGCCGAAGGCGAGTTTGACGGTTTTACGAGAGGGGAATATGCAATTCCAAACGTGTTTCAGACTATACTTTTTCTACGTTTCCAAAAAATACCATAGACAAATGAGGAGCATCCGTGCAAAACCGGCTAAATCCATTTTATTCAGTTATTGGGTTTTTTTTGATTTCGCATCTTTGGGTTCATTTCTATCGACAACCAAGATAATTCTGTTTAAATCCGACTATATCCATGTTAAAATCACATTTAAAAGGTAGCTTTAAGAGCAAAACCGGCCAAATCCACGTTTTTATAGCAAACCCGGCTATATCCCATAAATAATAATGATGATGAGCATGTGGCTTGGATATGTCGATACTACTACTAAAATTTGTTCTGTTTTTTCATGTTTGCACTAAATTTATTTTGTTAATATTTTTGAATAATAAAGGTTTTTTTTCACATTTTATTCGGTTTTTGAGCAAAACCGGCTATGTACAAAACATTTTTTGAAATTTTTTAATATAAAGTTTTTGAAAACGAAAGTATGTCTTATAAATCAAGTACCACAAAGCCCACAAAACTCAAGTTTGCTTTTTCTTTTATCTGCAAAGGCCAGGGAACCGAGAGTTTTTGCCACTTTCCCAACATTTTATTAAAGTGGATATAGCCGGTTTTGCACGGATTCTCCTCAAATAATTTAATTGGAAGAAAGTGAGGTTGGATCGGTCTAAAATTTGTTAGATATTAAAAACAGAGATGTCGCCACGAGTGTATATTCTGTCATCAGATGATAGAATATTTCATTCTGTAACACTTTACGGAATATATGTCATTCAGTACTTGTACTTTTACTCAAGTACTTTTTTCTTGTACTCGGAACAGCTCTGCACTGAACCACACACTTAAATATATTGTCTTGGTATTTCCTAAAATATTGTGGCCACAAAAAAGCTAAAACAGCTAAAAAACTTTTTGGAGGTAAATCTCCATTAATAAAATACTATATAATTAAAATAACAAAAATACAATTAAAAAAAAAATCATGACACAAAAAATATTTAAAAAAATTAAATACATTGTCTTGGTATTTCAAAATACACTCACAGGCAAAATAATCGATCCACACAAATTTTCGATGAATTTCAATCGCAAATAACTTTTTTATTTGATTTCGGATTTAAACGAATATTAAAGAATATTGTAGATAAATTAATGGACAATCGCTAACATTTTAAAAAATTACTAAAAAATAGACGTACGTGGCAAAACCGTATATTGTTCTAAATTAAGTTTTAATTATTAGTTCACATCTATTTTTAATAGTTTTAATTTCCTATTTCTTCTTCTTCTGCTTTAACAGAATAACAGCATATTGTAATTAAACGAGTAAGATTCTTTGGAATCTTCTCGCAAGTTTTCCCCACAATAATTTTTTCCCCCAAAATTGCGAAAAAAAACCCCAATCTTGCCATTCTGGAGTCCAGAATCTGGACTAAAGTTCGAACGGGTAATGTACCTAGGAGTCGATGCGCTAAAGAAGTACGTTAAAAAATTAAAAGCGTCGGTCTCACACACCGGGTGCGGCTAATCAAGGGTTAAAGGTAAAATTCATTTGTATCTGCAGCAATTTGTGCAGCCTTAAGTTGTGGATGTCACAATTTTTGCTCTCAATATGTCAAACTTTTTGTTTAATTTTTATATATTTTTTGGGGTAGAGTGCACTTTTTCTTTGAATTACTTTAACTTGTATGAACAAAAAGTAAGATTTTTTGATACACTGATTTAACAAATAATGTATTTGTTGGCATTCAGTGTACAAATCCATATTTTAGGTCTTTTTAACACGCCAACTCAACAAACTCAGGCACCTCAATCCACAGGCTTTAGTTTTGGCGCTTCAACAGGACCAGCGCCATCTTTTGGCGCTTTAACGCAACAAGCCGGTGCGCCTAGTTTTGGCGCTCAACCCACATTGGGAGCGCCACAACAGCAGCAACCTGCAGCGCCTGGTTTTGGCGCGGCGCCCAGTTACGGGCAGGCTACGGCGGGAGCGCCACAATACGGCGCTCAAACTACTGTACCCACTACGAATCCGCCCAGTTTTGGGGCAGCTACATCAGGTACGGTAATTTTTTAACAATAATTATGTCAGTTTAAAGAACATTTTTTATCAGGTTTTGGGGCGGCAACTTCGGCTGCGCCTAGTTTTGGGGCGCCCTCTACTGGTGCGCCCAGTTTGTTTGGAACGCCTACTTCCAAACCTGGGGGTTTATTCGGCGCTCAACCGGCGCCAGCAGCTACTACATCAACTCAATCTACAGGTTTTAGTTTTGGTAAGTACCTACATTATTTTTTATATGTAAATATTTTTCCCCTTTATTGTGTATTCTTATTTATACTTTTGAAACATTTTCGTACACTTTTTTTAGGAGCTCCCAACGCGGCGTTGCCAAAAGCTAGCGTAGCACCTACCTTACAAACGTCACAACCGGCAACATTGCTTAGTTTTGGCACCCCTGCTTCGACTGCAACTGCGACGTTGTCATTTCCTGCCACTTCAGCGGCGGCGCCGTTGGGCGGGCCAAGTTTTGGGGCACAAGCTGGTAAATAAAATGGTTACTTTTTATATTAGGGTTTTTCGATTTTTGTAATTTTTTAGCTACTTCAGCGCCACAGGGATTATCTTTTGGTACCAGTAGCGCCAGCAGTGCTAATACATTGAACTTCACTGCTACTACAACGCCGGCGTCGACAGGAATATTTTCTCTGGGTAAAAATATACAATAATTTTTTTTTTTTTTTAATTTAATTAACTTTTCATTTTTAAGGTGGTTTAGGTGGCACCACTGCCGCTATCTCCACTGTTGCAACGTCTGCAGTGTCCACGCCAGTGGTGGGTCTAGGGGGGGTGGCTGCTAGCCAATCAAAAACGGGGGCCAAAGCAAACGCACAAAAAGAAATATCGCCAAAGGATCAACCGCTTCCCAACGAAATACAACAAACAGTTGAAAATTTTAAGAACGTCGTCAAGGACCAAAAATCCCACAGCTCCGATATTTCGCGGTGTTCCGTGAGGGACTACAGGAAAGTCGAGCAAGAAATCGATCTGTTGAACAATTTGATCAGTGAAGTTGAAACCCAGCTGCAAAAAAATCGACACTTGACTGAAAAACTTAAATACGATACAGCAAAAAGTTTTCAGAACGTCGAAATGGCGCAAAGAACTCAAGATACACCTCCAGGTTTACAGTACGAAAATATGGCACCGCTAAAATTTTTTTTGGAGCTAGCAGATTCATTTGAAAGAGAAATGTTGACCATAAAATTTCAGATAGAAAGTGCAGATAAGTTTGTGAAGAATTACAACAATCCCAATCAAATAACACACCAAGGTTAGTAGGTAAATTAGTAGGTTAGTAGGTAAATTTTTTAAGTTTAATTTTATTTCAATGTTTTTTTCATAGATAACTTGACAGAATAATTTTTTTTATTATTATTGTGCATTTTTCTACTTAAAATTTTTCAATAAAATTTAGTATATTGTCGTTTTGAGGGGTGGTGAATCCAGTGTCGTGCTTAAATTTACTCTTAAAAACTGTCATAGTACCCTTGTATTTTGTACAAATATGGCGTTTTTTGCTCCAAAAATACAGTTTATCAAGATCTACACTTTAAAACAAATTCGGTTAAAATCGCACAATAAATAAAGATTTTACAAGGGTGAGCTGCAAACAAATGGGTCATACTGTATATTTTTTTTCTCGATTCTCGATTTGGGGAACACGTTTTTTTTAGTTTTGTCAATTGACCCCCTTTTTTGGGGGCCGGCTGGGGCAAGCCGAACCGCCGGTCAACCGCCTATGCCGAGCGAAGGCCGACTGTGTGTTTGGTGCTTACTGGGAGACCCCTAAAAGTCGCCTATAAGAATAGTCTTTTTCTTATATCTCAGAACCCTGCTGTATGAGAATCACTAGATTTGGTATTCAGGGGTTTTTTGATATGTGGAATCTGATAGTGTTAGGGTTTTTGGCTGGGGACCACCTTTTTCGTAGGCCCCCTTGTCTTTGGAGCCACCAAACTTTGGTTGCGTATTTATTTTTTAATATTGACCCGTAAGGAAGTTGCCGGTGCACACGCGAAAACATTGAATGATTAGGAAGTATTAGTTCTTAAAATTTAATTTAACTTTGATTCCTACCCAAACCAAAATAAGAAAAACTAGTCCAAAAAGTATACTTAAAAACAGAAAAATTAACACCGAAAATGTCAACAATGTTTTGTAAATTATTATATATTTCATACAATTGTCGGTATGCATTCGATCACATTTTTCCATTTTTCTCGAAAACATTACGATTTACAACAAAATTTCAAAAGACAAAAGTTTCCCTGGCTATAAAGACCATGTCCCTGGCAGCAAAAACAGTTTGGCTACGGCCCCGAGATACGGTTTTTTACATTTTGTAGTCCATTTATAATACATAATTTTGTCGTTTTTTTAAATGCGCTGTAACTTTTAAACGATTTTAATTGATTATTTTTTCGTTTGATATTTATTTAAATCGCAATTTTGCTAGTATTCAAACTTTTTAATTTTCTCTGTAACTTTTACAATGTTTGTTTAAATTTGATGATATTTTTAAGGTGTAATACCATTGCTTTTAGAAAAAATGTTTGACATTAGTCTAAAGTATTTTACGACATTTTCCACATATTTAAAGAGTTAAATGTTTAAATATTTAAGAGTTAAAATGCAAACAATTGTCGACTATCTTAGAAATATAACTCAGTTAAATTTTCTTAAGAATGTCAACTGGCATTCTTAGGACATCAAATACCTTAAGATTAAGGTACCTAGTTGTATAAGAAGTATATTTTAAACCTTGTTTCTACTATTTTCAGATATTGCTTTGGGTATGAAACGTCTCCACGAAACCTTTGTAGCATTGGCTGGCCGCCTACAAGCAGTACACAGCCAAGTAGAGACCCAAAAAGAAACATACGTCAACCTAAGAAAACATTTATATAACGACTCGACGAATCCCTTTGATAAATTATCAGCGTCGAATTCTTACGAAGAAAGGCTAAAAAAATCGTTAGCCCACTCGCCGCCCAGGTTCGCGACTGGGCCTACGCCTTTCAGCAACCTAAGTTTGGGCGGGAACGGTATTACAGCGATGGCGGCGCAAAAACATTCGCAGAACGCGTCAATGATGCCAACACAACCACCAGGTTAGTGTTTTTTGTGTGAAACGTTTAGATCGCAAGGTTAATAAAAATTTACGTGTGATTTTAGCGTTTCCTTCTACGTCATTCGGTCAACCTATTGGAGGGACTCAACCGTCCAACACCTCGCTTTTTGGCAGTGTTACCAATCAAAGTAGTTTTGGCTTTAATTCAAGCTTTCAACTGCAAAAACCTCCAAGCGGTAACAAAAGGGGGGCCCAATGATTTGATTTTTACTTTTTATGAAATAAAATACATTTTTAAGGATTATTATTATTATAGACTATGTTTAATTAAATAACGATTTGATAAATATAAAATATAAAAACATAATTACAATGTTTGGTATTTAAAATTATTTTTTATTGTTTTTACACTGCCCCCACTTGTAGAACTGGAATTAATAGTTGGAAGGCATCTTGGATGTAAGAACTAGAATTTGACGCCTAAAAATATTTATTTAAAAAAAAATTATTAAATGTGAACATGGGAAAAGGGAACGTTTAATTACCTCAAAGAAAACATTAGTTATTAACTCATTTACAGACTCCTTATTATTTACCATGGGAGCTTTACTGTTCAATTTATCAGAAAATTTTGCAGCTACAATACCTATTAATGCTATAAGAGATGCAGTCAACCTAGAAAAAATACAAAATACATTTAAAAGAAACTATATCTAGCTTAAGTTAACATTTACAAATTAAGATGGATAGCGCTTATCTAAAAGGAACCAAGCGCCAAAAAGTTTTTCTGGGATTAGTAAAATTATTTGTAAAATAACTCATTTTTAATAATTCTCAATAATGATCATCATTTGGAAGTTTTCTCAAAAGGATTGAGAGGGTTCCCAAATCATTATTAATTTTTTGAGCAGCATTAAAAATGAGTTATTTTGCAAATAATTTTGTTTACCCCATAAAAAGTTTTTGGCGCTTGGTTCATTTTCGATAAACGCTATCCAGATGTAAAAGAAAATAAAGCTAAAAAAAAGAAAAAATCGTTGAAACTGTCGATGTAGAAGATTCTAAGGTTAGTTTAAACCATGCACAAGAAATTATTAATGTCTAAACAGTTTTTAAATAAGTTAAGATTTAAAAAACGTCAGACTTTTTAAAAATAAATTTTAATGACATCGTAGCAAAAGTATGCTCTTTCTTATGATGACAAGTGTCAGGGAAAATAAAGATTATTATTATTATTATTATAGTCACGGCCAAATCTATATGGGTGCACGTCATCAATGAGATATAATGACGTCAGCATTACCAACTTTGAATTGTAAAGTTACTGCCGTTAAATTTGCTTTTTTAAGGCGTAATTCTGATGTCTTATTAAAAAGAAATCATTCATTTGCGTATTGTTTACCAAGAACTGTAACAATTTCCTTGTTTTAAAACGTTTTTTCACGAAATTATCAAAATAAAACCATTCACTTAGTAATTTTTGTGTGTGCCAGTTGGTAATAGCTTAAGGCTGGCGCGCACCGTTCAATATTATTGATGGGTCGCTGTCATTTTATATTTGACGTATTTTTGTAATTGTGACATTTCGTCCTGAAGCATCGTTTGTTGCAAATTATTATAAATAATATTATACATTATGTTTATAAGATTCTATCCCTGGATTGTGCAAACAATGATATAAGGCTTGTTGGCAACTAGCCGTTATTAGATTTCGAAGACATTGCGCCCTTAATAATAAATTTGGGGAAATAATCAGACTTCAATTCTGACCTGGTTTGCTCTGATGACAAGGACGACTGGTAATTTATATATTTTGTGTTTCTGATAATTTAGAATTTTTGTTATGTGCATATGTAATAAAAATGTAATAAACTCCGTTTGTTTTCTCTTTAAACACATTTAATAAAAATTTGCCTGTAACAAACTCCTAATTAGTTAGTGCAGAAGATTATAACAAGGACGTTATAATTCCATCTTAATAACAGACCCCACCGCTATAAACAGTTAACAATACACGAGCGTTAGATTGTGTCTGGGCACGTATGAATAGACCTTAACGCTGACGTCATATGCCGTTGATGACGTGCACCCATACAGATTTGGCCGTGACTATATAATATATTATTATTAAGTCTTAATGTTGGTATACACTGAAAATTTCATTAAAATCGGAACAATTTTTTAAGGATGAAAACATAAATAAGGATAACGTCAGTGAAGAAAAATGCACCTTGACTCTTGAAGTGTAAGGACGCTCAAAGATAGTTAACGAGACCCCTCCTAAGCAGCGTATACGACACAAACGTAGTAAAGTACCAAAAGCGAATCTAAGTATGCGGAAATATCGGTAATCGGTAATAAATAAATAAACAAACAAGTCCGAAAAGTGCAACAAGTGCGAAAAGTGCGCCGTAAATTAACAAAAAATCAATATCGATTCTACACGTGATAACTGGTTAACGCCGTAAAATAACAAAAAATCAATATCGATTCTACACGTGATAACTGGTTAACGCCGTAAGATAATAAAAAATCAATATCGTTTCTACACGTGATAACTGTCCCAAGTGCAAAAGAGTGCAAATTGTGTGTGGTACCTCCCCCTGGATTAAGTCCTCAAGTGTTTGACCTGGTCAAAAGGTGTGAGAGAGACGATCAGTTCCAATGAAAATTTCCTGGGCTACCACACGTGCGGGCGGCATGCGATAAGGATCAATTTCAGCACACCTGCCTTGGAAATATCCCGAAGTCCAAGTCTACATACACTAGATAAGTAGCTACCAAATTGCATGACCATGACCACCCAATAATATTAATACTAGTTAATACGAAATACGCAACCTTTAACTAACAATAATTCTTCAGGTAAAATTAATTAGTCGTAAACAATTTCCAAGATTCTCATGCAAATGAAACAGTAAAAAAACTATAAACACAAGGGCACATAAGAAGCCATTAATCACTCAAGTTACGATAAACATTAGGCAAAAGAAACCATCCTAAAGAAATATATTTATTTATGTTTACATCTTTAGATTACTAAGACGTTAAGGGGGTCATAAATTGAGTAAAAACCGTTCTAAGCGTAAAATAGCCGCAATGCACAGTGAGGCGCAAAGATGGACCCAACCCCAAGTGAATGGGGATCACGCACAGGGGGAAAAAATAATTCGAGGGTCGACAATTCCAGTAGGTTAAACGAATTTCCACAGAGTCACTAATTACGGCGGGGTGCGGCCGGCAACACTTCGGTTCTGAAGATAAGACTTAATATCGCACAGGGGGGCAAATAATTCTAAAGCGGTTATCAGGAACCAAAATCCGACTCGGACAGCGACGAACGGGAAGTACACCATCAAGGAAAGGCGCTAGCAGCATACTAATCCACCTACCCCCATTCAGGAATCCCAAATGAATGGGGTTATTACTAAAGCCCTGGTTGAGGAGGATTCCGGATTGTACTTAGTTTTGGGTCAGTTGTCCTCCAAAAACCCTTCCTAAACACTGTCATCCACAACCTCCTAGGGTGGATCTACCAGCCGGCGTAAAAACTTCGGATCCAACAAACACAGGTAATGCTGTGATTTGGCGGGATACGCAGGAGAACAGAAAGGGGGTAAAATAACCCCGGGAGATTAGTGGAGGATAATATATTTGGGGCCTGCCATACGTTCCCATACTCATACTCATCAATAGAGATGCGACTTGAAAAAAAACGGCCCTTTTTTTTGTTTTTTTTCATTGTTTTTTTTTCAAATGGTTTTTTTTTCATATTTTAGGTTTTTTTTCAAGATTAGTCCCAATTGCCTAATTTTTTATGTTTCCAGTCCAGTTCATGGACTAAAATTAGCCACTAAAGAACATTTAGTTAATGTAAATACAGTCTCGCGCTATGCACGCGCCAACAGCACCGAATTGACCAATAAGGGCCGCGCTTGTTTTGATTTGGTCCTAAAAAACGTAACTACCTATAATATTTTTGATTCAGCGCTTAATTTTTCAAAAAGCTACCAAAAGCACTTTTTTCATGATTTTTCAAATTCATGTAATTAGAGTATGAAATTTTTTGTTTCAAAAAAAAACAATAGCAAATTCTTGAAGAACATTTATTCATTGCTGGTTAAGTCAGAACATTCCGTGGACCAAAAAAGAAAGCCAAACAAATTTCGAATTTTTTATTCATTAGGATTGAGCGTTGCACGTTTTTCATCCAAAAATCTCAAAACTAGAAACTTCAAGCTTTAAATTGCTATTTTCATGGCTCCAATACGACCATTTTTAACGAAGATACAGCTATCCGAAAAATCGCAAAAAAATTGGAATTTTTTTAATCCTTTAATTTTTTTATTAGTGTAGAAGTTTTACATTGCTACATGGTTTCTTATGAGTAAAATGTATATTAATATATTAATATACATTTTACTCAAAATTTCATTTTGAAAAATTACTCCATTTTTTAAGATTAATGTTATTTATTGACAGAATATGCTTTATTGTGGCGGATTTGAAAAAAAAAACAAAAAAAAACCGTTTTTTATATAGGTTTTTTTTCATGTTTTTTTTCACATTTGAAAAAAATAAAGAAATTGTCAAGAAACCAGTTAAAGAAGCTAAAAGTAAAAAAGTTACAACAAATTTGGAAAAAAAAAACTCAAATTTGTTTAACCAGTACTAAGTAAAAAAAAAAGTACATAAGAAAATCTGGTAGTCAACTTAATATATTAAAAACTGTCTTAAGAATGTCAATTTAAGCCAGATATCAGATATATATATACATATATACCTATATATATATTACTGTTTTAAGAATGTCAAAGAATAGTTTTTTTATACAAGGTGTAAAAATAAAAAAAACATTAGGTACTTACTGTACTAAGCTGTCAGCCTCATCAGCAGTACTTCTATTTTCTTTGACCAGCAATAGTTCTGCAGTTTTGTGAAATTGTTCCACGGAAAAGGCAGTTAATTGTGCCAGAGTTTCTATAGCTTGTTGATGAAGTTCTTTTTCATCAATAAGGTTCAATTTTAATGTTTCCAACCACGATTCCGTTTCTTCCCACGTCTTTTCTAGTTTATCGTATGTTATTGGTATGTTTATTTCCGAAACGGCCGTATTAATTTTTTCTTTTACCTCTGGGATTGTTAATTGTTCATCGTCATCCTCTTCAGGAAGTTCGCAGAGTTCTTTTACTTGTTCTAAAGTTTCTTGCATATCTGTCAATTCACCACCTGTTAAATTCTGACTTAGAGTCTCCAACTTTATGTCACATTGTTTTGATAACATCTCCAAAGCCTCCAAATGCACTAAACCTTGGTGATCATCGAACAACGTCTCGTAATTTTTCATCCTCACCGAATTTCTTATATCGAGTTTTTTGTTATCGTCGTTCGATTTCTCCTTGGCCTCGCGTAAAACCTGCGATAATATAGGTTTGTTTTGGTCCAATTTTAAGAAAGCACGTTTTTTCTTTAAACCCGGGTCGCCATCTTGCAGAACCTCCATTGTTTTTTTGCCTATGGTTTCTAAGGTGTCCAGACCGCCTGATATGACTTTTGTACCTGAAAAAAGTTTTGTTTTGGAGTATACTCTTTAGGTTTACCATATATGGTATATACACTCACGTGCAAAATAATCAATCCACACAAATTTTCGATGAATTTCAATCGCAAATAACTTTTTTATTTGATGTCGGATTTAAACGAATATTAAAGAATATTGTAGATAAATTAATGGACGATCGCTCACATATTAAAAAAATACTAAAAAATAGACGTACTCTACAGAGTGTCTTAAACTTATGGTAAAAACATCTTTTTGTTTAAACCTGTATATTATAAACGTACGTCTATTTTTTAGTATTTATTTAAAATGTGAGCGATTGTCCATTAATTTATCTACAATATTCTTTAATATTCGTTTAAATCCGACATCAACTAAAAAGTTATTTGCGATTGAAATTCATCGAAAATTTGTGTGGATCGATTATTTTGCACGTGAGTGTATATACTATGGTATACCTATGCAGCTATCTACCTTGACATTACCTACTTTAAGTTTGTTTGACAAACGTCGTATTTTAATAAAACTTTAAGGATATACTAACAAAATTATGACCTTAAGAATGTCACAAAAAAGAGCGTCCTTTTCTTAGTATAGCCCCTAGATCAAACCAATAGATAAATATCTTATGTCGGATGTCGGGACAGTATTATACTATTTATCCAAGCCAAGAGAGGGCGCTAGGTATTTTATAATTTCATATACTACTACACAGTGTAGTAAGTATATGTATAATTTTTGACGTTCAATTATATCATATCTCTGCCGTAGTTATCGCATTTTTTGTAAGCCTTTGTGTATTTGTGTGATTTATTGTGTATTGTTTCCAAGGTTTGTATTATAATAATAATTTTACACTTTTACCGAATCAAAGTTTTTGTACCGAAAGGCTTTCAAAAGTCAGTCAGTACGTATCGACAATCAGCGCCCCTGGTGGTGAAAAAAAATACTTAATTTGTGCAATTTAGAGGGCAGGTTTTGTCAATTTTCGGGCTCCTTGTGTAGGCTCCATGGTTGGGGCTCTAAAGAGAGTAAACATCGATTTTTGAATACTTCAAAAGATATGAATTTGAAAAAATAGGTCAAGTTATCTGGAAAAAGGAAATTAGCTGAAAATGTATTAGCGTTGATCATAATTCTGTCACCAGGAAAGAATACATTGCAGGACAGAGAAGTCTCATCGTGGGTTGAATATTATATTGTTCTATCAGCAATTTTGGCGGAAAATGAAATTTTTACATAAAAATGAAGGTTTAACGAATATCTATCTATCTAAATAAGTATCACTGTTAAATATAGCCCAGAAATACTAAAAACGACATTATTATTTTGTTCTATGTGCGAAATTCAAATATAATGAACTATTATAATGTTCTAACAAACCAATCAATTAAATTGCAAGTTTTCGAGTTGTCACTGACAGCCTAACATATCTGTCATCGGCAGTTTAAGGAATTACGTCGTAGGTTTTTGTCTGTGGTTTTTGTACAATCCACACAACAAGGTCTGTTCTATCTCGTACGAAAAACGAAGTGTATATGTACAGAGGCGCCTCTGTAGATAAAGTTACGGTTATGTACAGAGGCGCCTCTGTTGATAAAGTTACTGTTATGTAAAGAGGCGTCCCTGTAAAAAATATCAATATACAGAGACGCGTTGACTTGTATTAAGTATACTATAGTGTTATATGGTTTATATTCATTTTATTTTCAAACATTAGGTACCATATATTTGAACTGCTAGCGTCTAGAGGCACCGAATTATCTTGGCTCCCTGGCTCCTAGACATGCGCGTTTTATAGAAATGTACTCAAACTCAACAACACAACCCAACCGACCCCGCCCCATTGGACCCCCCCCCCCGCCCCATTGAGCAAAAAACCCAACTAAAATGGGATAATTTATGTAATTAAAAAGTGTTTTATTTTTATCGTAACATAAATTTGCCCATTTTAGTTGGGTTTTTTGCTCAATGGGGCGGGGGGGGCCCAATGGGGCGGGGTCGGTTGGGTTGTGTTGTTGAGTTTGAGTACATTTCTATAAAACGCGCATCTCTAGGAGCCAGGGAGCCAAGATAATTCGGTGCCTCTAGACGCTAGTTAATCTGCCTCTGTACATAAGCGTAACTTTATCTACAGAGGCGCCTCTGTACGTATACACTTCGTACTAAAAATACAAAAAATCACTGCAACACTGCACAGTTTAACGGCGGCCATTTTCGTTGTTTACAATGTTTGTGCTTTAGGTTTGTGCTCTGTTTATACAGATTAATAATCGTTTTAAACGTTGTGTTTCTCATAGTAAGCCTTAAAAGAGTCCTTAAAGTGCTAAGAACAACCATTTTACTCCTCTATTGTAAAAAATAAACTTTATTCTATCAGGGCTGTCATAAAACTGTCAGTCAATTTTAAGGTTAAATTATAACCCACAAATTAACCTTCAAATTTTCATTGGACAGCCCTGATAAAATAAGGTATATTTAATATAAAAGAGTTGTCCTTAGCACTTAAAGGCCTTATTTGAGGCTTACAAGTGCCTCTGTAAGAAACAACGTTTAAAACAATTATTAAACAGCACAAACCCAAAGCACAGGAATTGTAAACAACAAAAATGGCCGCCGTTAACTATGTGCAGTGTTGCAGTGATTTTTAGTATTTTTAGCATGAGATAGAACATACTTTGTTGTGTGGATTGTGGGTTTTTGGTGGTTTAAGTGATTATTTTATTTAAAAATAAATGATAGTGAGATTCCGTAAGTACAAAAATACAATATTATTATAAAATAGTTATAAAATACCCAAATAAAACTTATAATTTATACGTAAAGTGATTTGTGCCCTAAACTCAAACGTAGCTACTAACAGAACATTATTAGCTTATTTCTACGAATTTGTTTGCTTTAAAACATGCTTTTAGAACTTTTTCTCAAACTATATTTTTTAGTTGCTGTTTAACAAGTTAGACGTATTCGAAAATAATCATTTTATGCATCAAATTGAATATTTTGAAGATAGTGATAATTCCTGTGCAGATCCAGATTATGTGGATTTAGATTCAAATGAAGCAGCTTTGAAATCACATGCAAAATGTGGTAATATAGGTAAATCCTAGTCTACTTTTTTATAATTTTGTAATTCTTTTTGTTTTGTTTTTAGACCTGAGTATGGCGATGTATTTTCGCCAATGTTGATACCAGATATTCGCAATAAACCTGAACTAAAAGAATGTCTCCTGTCTTTTGCTAAAGTTGCTGATCTAACCAAATTATTTGAGTTGCCGCCTGTTTATGTAATTTTTAAAAACTTTTTTTAAACAACTTAATAATGCTGCTGTATTTGCAAATGAGAAAAAAAAGACAATAATTAGTTGTTGAGTTGAGTTATCATAAATAATTAGTATTACTTAAGCCTTGTTTTCTTTGTAAGAGTAATTTTTCACCCTATACTGTTAGAACATTTTGGAACGTTTTGTAAAATTTTGAAAAATAATAAAACAAAAATGTTCTATTAGCAATAGTTTGATTATTATTATTATTATTATTAACATTTTTAGTTAACCAAAATACTAAAATTAAGTGCACTAAGCACTACCCAAACAGCACAAAACATCCTTAAGACGTCTTGTTTATGTCTTAATAAGGTCTGAACGTCTTAAGACCTAAAAACGACGTCTTAAAGACATATTTGAGAAGACGTCTTAAAACAAGCAATTTAGTAACGTCTTAAAGACGTCTTTTTAAAGTCTGTTTCGGGATATAAACTATCTAGGATCTACCTGCTGTACTGCAATTTGTACCCGCGGCGTTTACTTTATTAAGATAACCTGTATAAATTAATTAATTACTTTCTTTAACTTTTGAATACATTTAAAGATTTAGTAAGGACGTCTTAAAGGCGTATTTTTGAAGACGTCTTAAAGATATGCAATTTGTGATATCCTAAAGACGTCCATGAAAGCCTAGTTTGGGACATTTTAACCTTTTAAAAAAATGTACACCCATACAAAACTATCTGTTTATGTAAAGTGTAAGAATTTGCTCTATATATACTAAATACTTATGTTTAACAGTTTAGATAGGTACTTTTATATCAACAATCTCTCTATTTTAATATTATTTGATACCAATGGTAATTTTAAATTTAGCGCGCTTCTATTATTTCCCTCTTGTGGAATTTGCCTTAAATACAAAACTGGACAACGTTGTCAGATCGACTAATTTTTAGCAGATCTACAACAAATTAAATATAACAACAAAATGTATTCAATAAAATATTAAAACTTACAGCATTTGTAATCAGGGCCTGTATAGGCAATTTTTTGTAGGATTTAATATTAAATCCTAACACGATAGAAATAAAGAAACAAATAAAACATCTGACCAAACGTTTGGTACCACCATACGCAATGTGCAAAGAGAACTCCGGCAACGCTGTTGTAAAAGCGGAATTGGCATATGATTAGCCATTTTGTTTGTTTTTTTTACAAACATTTTTGTTAGCTGATACTGCTTGACTTTGCATTTTATTTAAACTTTTTCGGTGTCTAGCTATTTACAAATAAAACTTACTGTGAACTGTGAGAGTGAGTGTGAGTACTATAATAATTATAAAACTTAATTTTATGGCCGTTGTTTGGACCAAACAGTGTCGTGTCTTCAATCTTCAGCAGTGAGAATCCAGTGAAATAGGTAATAAGAAACATGAAGCGCATTCGTTTAAGTAAATATTATTTTTTATAAAATAGCTGTCTTTTAAAAGTTTTAAAACCTGTTAAAAAACAAACAAACCGCTGTTGTGTAAATTAATACGTTTTTTTTTTTAGGATCAGTGGAGAAATCGGGTCTTGCCAAATTTGATGAAGATACCGAAATTGCTATTCAAGCTTGGCTAAAAAGGGCATCAGATAGAAGAACCCAATTATTAAAGAAGTTTTAAGATTTTTTTTTCAAATATTTTGCTATCTGTATGATTTTATGTGGCCAACCTTCCACCTCAAAGTTG